ACCTTGGCTTGATTATGTATTTGATTGCTATGATGCCCTAGAATAATAACAATGAAGAAGATGTACTTGGTGAATATTAAGGTATGTAAATTACACCCCAATTTTTAAAAAAAGAGTCGTTCGCAGATGCTGGTAGCCATTATAATGGGAATAGTAACAAAAAATTGAGGAAAATTTTCCAGCAATCAGCAAACTACCAGCACCTTGAATTAAACAGTTACCATGTTCTTCAGTGGGAATTCTCTGACATACATCTTCGAACTTGTTTCCCCTTTCATCCTTACATGTAACATAAAAGAAATTAAACCAACACTGGTTGTGTTGGAAGCTACTCTTTGCATGAGTATTGCAAGCACAGTTGCCAGTTTAACAAATACGACCCGTTTGGCAAAAATCCATGAACTTTCTACAATCAAATCATTGGTATACGTGAGTGATCTTACCAATAATAATTTGTAGTGTTTAATATTGTAAATCGTTACTCGAATGATACAAGAGTCAACTCTGGCCAGGTGTGGTCCTCACCCCCTGTAACCCCAAAACTTGGGAGGCCCAAGGTCGAGGGCATCCACTTGACCGTCAGGAGTTTTGAGACCAGCCTGGGCAATGTACCAAGACCCACTGTCTCCTACAAAAAAATAAAAAATTAGCCAGGGTGTGGTGGCACTGTGCCCGTTAGTCCCAGCCTACTCAGCAGGCCTGCAGGCCAGGAGATCCACTGAGTTCCAGTTGCGGAGCCGTAGTCATAACTACTGCCACCCCTCCAGCCCTCGAGGGAAGCGGAAAACCCTGTCTCAGAGGAAAAAAATAATCCAGCCTGCCAACTGGGTACTTCAGCCAAGAGGTCCAACACAACCACACCCAACGGCAGAGGTGGGGGCCTGGAACTCAGGAGGCGGCGCGTGAATACCGCGGTGCCTTGCTCTTAAGCCACACCGGCCATGGTACCTGCCTGAAGGGGCTGTGGCTTGGATTGGGCCTGTGGGAGGTACAGGTCTTAGCGGTTGCAACGCATGCGTAGAGTAACAGGACACAGCCGGAGAGTGAGGCGGACAGGCCACCATCTTCTGATGCTAATGCAGGTCGCCGGGGTAGGGCAGGGAATACAACAGAGGCCTCGCTTTGGGACTGGGGAGGATGGTGGAGCTGTGTGGGGTATTTTGAATTTGATGGTGTGTTTGGACATGCCAAGTTCGGAAATCCAGAATCTGGACTTTGCGAGAGAGGCAGGGGCTGAGATACAAAGTCTTGGGGCCTTCTGGAATAGGTGGTAATTAAAGTCATGGTATGCCCTGGCTTATGAAGTAATGATCAGGGGCTGGGTCGTCTTGAAGGGTAGCCTGTAGAAGAGGCACTAGTCTCAAACGGCTCGGGTGTGGATAGACACCTCGACATAAGGAACTCGCATCCATTAGAAAAAGACTCCATCTACATTTAACGGCCACTTCGCCACCAGGAACCCGCACCTGTTTCTACCCCTGATCCAATAAAGACTGCAATCCACCGATAAACGACATAACCCAAGCACTCCCTTCCATATCATCTGCACCCTGGAAGACTCCCGTGGACATAAAAGGAGCAAGACTTTCAGCAGCCTTGAAATGGCCATCCCTCACTGGACAACCATCTTGCTGTCCTCGTGATAGGAGCCACCAGCATCTCCCACCGAAGCGGCTCTGCCCACATTGCGGTGGACTCTGTATTAACAACAGCCAAAGATGCGAAAAAAACCAAAAAGTGTCGGCCATCAACAGATAATGAAAGAAAATGTTGGCGCACATATACACGGGTACTAATCAGCCATAAAATAAGGATGAGATGCGTCATTTGGCAAGCATGGAGGAAACCCGGGCTCGAAGAGTGAAAATAACCCAGGGACAAGAAACGAGGCAACTTCCATGTCCTTTACCTATCTGGGCCGCTCACAATGAAAAGCAACGAACTCCATGGAGATTCCGACAGTAGAAGGGGTTGCTAGGGCGCTGCCAGGTAACTGGGGTGGGACGGAGTGAGGATGGTTATATGGAAACAGACAATATAGATACCGATAAACCGCTGTATTCACGCTGTAATCCCAGCCACTTTGGGAGGGCTGAGCGGGTGGATTCACGAGGTCAGGAAGACAATCGAGACCATCCGCGGCTAACATGGTGAAACCCCTGTCTCTAACTAAAACTACAAAAATTGGCTGCGCCGACGTTGGTGGGCGCGGGCCTGTAGTCCCAGCTAGCTCCCGGGGAGCTGAGGCAGCGAGAATTGCCTGAACCCAGGAGGCGGAGCTTCGCAGTGAGCCTGAGATCCACGCATTGGCACATCCAGCCTGGCGACACACGAAGAACTCCGTCTCCAAAAAAAAAAGACCTAGTATTTGATAGCAACAAGAGATACTACAGTCAAAAATAAACTTCATTGTCACAATTAAAAATAACTAAAAGAGGCCGGGTGGTGGTGGCCTCACGCCTTGTAAATCCTCAGACTCTTGGGAGGCCGTCGCTGGCCAGATCACCTGAACGATCCAGGGAGTTCGAACCAGCCTGGCCAACGTGGTGAAACCCCATTCTCTACTAAACAATACAAAAATCTAGCCAGCGGTGGTGTGGTGCACCACCTGCAATCCAACGCCATCTCGGGAGCTGAGGCAGGAGAATCACTTTGAACCCAGAAGGCGGAGGAACACAGTGACAAGACTCCACCCACTGCACTCCGGCCTGCACACCACAAAAGCCGCAAACAAGAACTCTGTCTCAAAAAAAAAAAGAAGCAAAAGAAAAGAAAAGAAAGAAACAAAGAAAAGAAAGAAAAGAAACAGAAAAGAAAGAAAGAAAGAAAAAAGAAAAAGAAAAAGAAAAAGAGAAAGCAAAAGAAAAAGAAACAGCGTCAGTTGAACAGTCTGAAACCATCTGTGGAAACGACACACGGTGTGTGGTCCCTGTTATGCCTGACCCCATCCCCGCCTGCTCACCAAGTGGACAATGTGGGAGGGAGTGGTTCCTGAAATAGGAGGGCTCCCTTCAGTAGGGCACTCCTGAGAAATGAACAACTCAGGGCCGATAAGTTGCCCTCGATATGACCTGGCAAGCAGCTCCTCTCCGCACACAATGCGAAACCCAAAACAGCTGCGGCTGGAGTGGATGGAAGAGTAAGGGGAGAGCCCGAGGCAGCCAGACCAGTCGGCTGGAGGGTGTGACCTAGGGCAGAGACAACCGGCAGAGGGGAGGGGCCCAGATTCCCGCCCCACCCTCAGGTCCAGGATGTGACCTGTGAAATGTGGGATGTGAGGAAAGGAAGGGTCCAGCTCGAATCTCAGGCCCCTGAGGCTGCAGAGATGGTCCTGGGAACAGTGAAACTGGGCTGATGAGGGCAGCAGTCCCAGCCTGAAGGTCAGGAGACGCTGGGCTGGAGGTCACCTCCACAAGCGTTCCCCGCGTAGGGAGGGTGGGGTCAGGCCTGAAGGGGGAATACACGACAGGGGAGTGGTGGAGGCAGAATCCAGGGCTCTGCCCGCAGCCCTGATGTCCCCGGGAGGGATGAATGAAGGGACAAAGGAGCAGGCAGCACAGATCTGTCCCAGAGGGACAGAGAAGCGTGCAGCAGAGGCTGAGGGTGCCAAGAAGTGCCTGGCCAGCTGTCAAATATTGCAAAGGCCACACAGGATGAAGACTGCGGGTGGCCGCCACTCAGTCTGGCTCAAAACAGCATGGATGGCAGTTTCTGCGAAGTGGCCAGATACAAGGACAGATTGCAGAGCCTCGGGGAGAACGGGCAAGGAGGCAAGAGGAGAGAGCCAAAAAATAGGTTTGTGGGAAGGAAGGAGACACTGAGGCAGCAGCTGGACAGAAAAACATCAGAAGAACCTTGGTCAGGCGTGGTCATTTTCATGTCTCCTCCTTCCCTCTCTTCCTCCTCCCCACCATGCATCCGATTTCAGTATCTGCAGCCCCTAAGGTCCAAATTCCAGATCCAGGATTTACTGGTTGAGTAGCCTTGGGAAAATCACAAGGAGCCCCTGCAAGCTGAGGTCCTGTCACGACATGAGATGAACGCCATAGCAAAATGGGATTCTTCAATTATTTTTGAGATGAGGTCTTGCTCTGTTGCCCAGGCTGGGGTGCAGAGGCACAAGCCTGGCTCACTGCAGCCTCGACTGCCAGGGCTCAAGTGATCCTCCTTCCTCAGCCTCCCTAGTGGCTGGGACTACAGGTGCGCACCACCACACCCTGCTATTTTATCTTATTATTGTTTCTTTTTTTTTGAGACAGGGCCTCACTCTGTTTCCCAGGCTAGAGTGCAGTGGCACCATCACTGCTCTCTGCAGGCTCGACATCCCTGGGCTTAAAGGATCCTCTGTCTTCAGCCTCCTGAGTAGCTGGGACTGCAGGTATATACCACCACGCCTGGCTAATTTTTGTCTTTTGTAGACAATGTCTTGCTATGTTGCTCCGACTGGTCTCCAGCCCATTCCATGCCCCCTGCGGTGGTGGGGACCCATTAGAAAAACAAATAAAACAGGATTCAATTTATGCGAACTTAAAAACACCTGGGGAGGGGTGGAACACTGTCACATGACAAGAAATCTTTGTCCTTCACATTTGTCTCTGGTTGCACGTGTAAAAGCTTCCCCCGCCTAGTGGCAAGGAAAGTGGTGGATTCCAACTGTGGAGGAAGGGTCCCCAGGGTGCAGAGGGAGGGGCGCAGGGAGCCGCAAGTCCCCAGAGGCCCACCTGATGCTAACAACGTGCAGTGAGGAAAGCCAGAAGGCACTTCGGTTCCATTCCATTTTATTACAATCCTGTCCTTGAGTTCCAGAACGAACGGCTATTTAATACACAACCCCAAACACTCCTAAAATGGATCTTGTTAACATTCAAAAGTCTCCCATTTCTTTCTCAGTATATTAAATCAAAAGGGAAAAAAATTTAAAAAAAAAAAATCAATAGGTTTAGTTCACCCCAGGAAAAGCACCTTTATAACAGGAAACTAAATTGTCAGGAATCTGACCAAAGACACAAAGCAGCAGGTGAGATTCCTGACAGGAGAGAGGGACTCCCACTGGAGCATAAATAGATCCCCCCCCAAGTATACATATTTCACATGAGTGTGTACATATATATGTCATATATTAAAAAAAACTGGTTTCTATACCCAAAAAGTTACTCAGAAATCAATCAACACCCCATCTGAGACTGGGGAAGTCGGGTGCTGCAGCCAGGTTATACATCAAGCTTGCACCTTGCTCTGTGCGGGTGACCCCTCGGTGCACTGTGCACACTGGCCTGGAGGGGGCTGGATGGGGGCCTCTGTCCTGCCCCCCAATCCCCAGGCCTGGCAGATCCAGTGTTTGCAGAAAAGTGAGCCAGGGAAATCTAGGAAGGCAGGTAGCTATGTGGTCCCCAAACTCCCCGGTGCAGAGCTCAGGAGCCAGCTGGAGGCTGGGGGCAAATGGCCAAGGCCACCACCAGCTGCCCTGGGTCCTGGGGTAAAGGGAAGTGCTTGGGAACCCAGGAATGGAACAGCAGCTCTCTCACTTTTTACCAGCAGGCCTGCCTCTGGGGTCTGCCCAAGGCCCTGGAGACCTTAGTATTACCAGTCTGGGCTTCTCCTGGGACCCAATGGCCTTTGGGAGAGGGAGTGGGCTTTTCAACCCGCCAGGCCTGAGCCTTGTGAGCCTGTTGTGTGAGTGTGTGTGTGCTTAATGGAGCTCAACACATTGCAAATGAGTGTTCTACTGGGACATACTGGAGACGCGTCTGCTTTGGGGGAAGTCAGTTTGTCACTGCATCCTAATTTGTCCCCATGCTGACGTGGATTTGTTCCAAAGATATCAGCTGCTGGAAGCGGCAGACACAGAAAACACGTTACACACCTGGAAGCGTAATCCTCTTGGGACTTGGCACAGTGTTTCCATTCACAGAACAAACAGCAGAAATGCATGGGAACCCCTTTCCTCATTCCAAACCCTTTCCTGACACCGCAGGCAAGCAGGAGAAAAGGCCGTGAGAGTCAGAAGGCGTGTCAGTAGTTTTCAGGTTTGCAAGCTCAACCACGAGACAGTCACACGCAGCCGTACTCATACCACACGGTCTGTGGGTCCCCGCCTGGCTCCGGGGAGGCAGGAGTGCTCTTGGACATGCTCCCTCGACTGCAGTCCTCAGGGACCCGGCCGGGGTGGGGAGCCAAATCAGAAGACCGACTTGGGCTCTTGGCCGGGAGCCCCTCGCTGCCGCCCTGCCCCAGGACCCCGTCTCCCTCTGAGAGGCTGAGCCCCGCCCGGACGGGGACGATGGTGGCCACCTCTCCCGAGTGTGGGGGCGCCTTGGGCTTGGTCCTGGCAGCCGGGGCTGCAGCAGGTGAGAAGTGTGGGAGCTGGGAGTTGCTGCCACTGCCAGCAACAGCAGTACCAGCACCTGCAGTGGCAATGGCGGGGGCTGTGGCAGACTGATGCAGGGGGGCCAGCCTTTCCTCCTTTGGGGGAGCCAGGGAGAAGCGCCTCGTGTCCAGCGGCCGGCTGCGGGGACCTGGGCCCTGACAGGAGCTGCCAGCCTTTCCCACAAGTGGGGTCCGCTCCCGGGCCAAGCTGTGGGAGCTGGGGGGTGCTGGGCTTTGCAGGGTGTGGCTGCCTGTCTCTCTGCCCCCTAAGGCCTCAGGAGGCCCCAGCTTCTGAGGGGACTCCTGTTTGCAGGCCTCTGGCCCGCTGGCCCGGAGAAGGTCAGCTGAGGCCAGGCTGAAGGCCCGGCTCAGGGAGGCACTGCGGCTGGCAGGTGCGTGGGAAATTGGGGGCACCGGAGCCTGCCGGGGTCTGCCCAGAGACAGGCTCTGGGGAAGCAAGGCCTGTCTCGGGGCCACGCTGGGTGGGGCCTCGGCCTCAGTCAGTCTGAAGTTTGGCTTTACATACTGCCCGGGCTTCAGCGGCCTCCCCTCCAAAGTGGGGGTGGCCACCTTGACGGTGGGGGCCACAAAGCTGGTGGGCATCTTGGTCCCTTCTTTCTTGGCAGGTGGTCCTGGTTGGCCTCCGATGGCTGGGGGATCGCTGGCCTTTCGAAAGTAGTCACTCAGCAGGTCATCCCGGCAACTGGGAGTGTCCTATGGATAAGAGAGTGAAGGGTGGAGGTGGGCATGAGGGTTGGGCAAGTCCTCGAAGCCTCCTCCCACCCAGGACGCCCCCTGAGCAGCCCACATGGCTGAGACTGTAGTTCCTGGCTGCCTTTTCCAAGGCACATGTGCCACCCCCGCCACACACACCAGCCCTGGGACCGGACGGTGAGGGTGGATGAGGCAGCATGGGACCATCAGGAAAGAACTCCAGATTCCCCCCAGGCAGCCCCCTAACTTTACACAAATAAGGAAACAGACCCAGAGAGGGAAATGGCTTCCTACAAAGTGAGTTAGCTTCCCAGAAACCCCGACTACAGCTGACCGCTTTGGTCTGTCTGGTTTCCACCAAGCACAGCAGGAACTAGAACCCTGGCGGGTATGAGCAGGGCCTTCCTTCCCCGGTCACCCCGGGACATCATAAGGACTTCACCTTGCGCCACCGAGAGCAAGAGGAACAAGAGCAGCTCCTGAAACGCCGGAACCTTCATTGCCACTCAGACCTCTCTCTGGGCCCGAGAAAGGGGAGAGAGAGGCAGAATGGGGCTGGGAGGGGGCGGGGGACAGAGAGGTACAAATGGAGTCTGTAAGTGTCCAGAAGGGGGAATGGTGGGGCTGCACAGGGAAATGAAGACACTGGGACGGCTCAGCCGCCACTCTGCTCCTGCTAAGCTGCCGCCCAGGCTCTGCTTCCCCTGCCCAGGGAGCAGCTGTCCTTTGCCACCACCTTGGGAACAGGCAGAGCCACGGAGGCAAGGGTCTATGGCCCCGCTCAGGGAACTGCAGCCTTCTGCAAGCACAGCTTCTCCTGAGGTTGACATGGATGAAGAGGAAGAGAAGTGACTTCATGGGGGATGAGAGGCCGGCGGGTGTCAGCCAGAAGGTGGGTTGGTAGCTCAGGAGCCATCTGCACCTGCCAGCAACTCCTGTCCCCCAGAAACATCTGGACATGGTGCCACTGGACAGAGATGCATCTGCTGTTTTATGCTAGTTTGATGCTACACATCTTGGGTGGGTGTCCAGTAAGACCCGTGATATCCACAGGTACCTTTCATCACCTGTGGGGCCATGTGCTGTTCCAGGAACCACATGTATAATTGCAAAGAAAGTCATTTAATTCTCAAAACGACCCTGCAAGGTTGTTGGAAGGCTGTGTGAAGGCGAAGAAGCAGGCCATGGAGGTTTGGCAGGTCACACGTCCAGAGAGAGGCAGACCCAGATGAAAGCCTGCGGCTGCCTGGCTCACAGCTGCTTTCCACTCCACCAGGCTCCTCCCTGCACACCTCAGAGCCGTGGATACCCACCCTCCCTGGCCACACAGGGAGCCCCATCTTGCGACACTCCCTCCCTGCATCATCGACGCCCAGAGAGTGAGGGCGCGGTGGGCATACCGTCGTCATTTCCCTGGGAGGGAAGCCCCTGTGTACATTAGGGGCTTTGTGCGTCAGGGGTACCAGGACGGAAGTCAGGTGTGTTAGGGATAGGGGCTTAAATATCCCAGGCAGAGAGAGGGGGCTGGCTCGCTGCATGCCAGGCATCCGCTTTCAACAGAAACTGCTACAGCCAGACTGTGTTGGTCTCACTGAAGCTAAAAATGGAAAGGTAACAGTACAGGGAATAGGAAATGGGGACTGTGAGGACGAGTCTGAGCTGAGCAGGGAGGGGCCCCACTCCTTGCTCAGGACCTGCCTGCCAACATCTCCAAAGGGAAAGGAAACCATCATAAGGGGCATATAACAAAAAAAGACTGAGAAGGAAAGCCTTCCAGCCGCAGGCCCCCCAATTTCTGGAGTGTTCTTGTTCAGGCCATCAGACCAGCAGCTTTTTTTTTTTTTTTTTAGAAAGGTCTCACTGTGTTGCCCAGACTGGAGTACAGTGGCACAATCTCGGTTCACTGCAACCTGAGCCTCCCAGGTTCAAGAGATTCTCCTGCCTCAACCTCCTGAGTAGCTGGGATCACAGGCGCCTGCCACCATGACCCAGTTAATTTTTGTATCTTTAGTAGAGATGGGGTTTCACCATGTTGGCCAGGCTGGTCTCGAATGCCTGACCTCAAGTGATCCGCCCACCTCAGCCTCCCGAAGTGCTGGGATGACAGGCGTGAGCCACCGCTTGGCCTAGACCAGTGGTTCTTAAACCATGGTGCCTACCCAGCCGCAAGACCATTATCTAGAATTTATAAAGATGCAAATTGTCAGCAAGCCCAACCTCAGACCCACTGATTCAGAAACTCAGGGAATGGGTTCTGTGGTCTAGCAAGGCCCCCAGACGATTCAAAGGCACGCCTGAGTTTGAGAACCACATTAGACTGCTAACGTCTTGAGCGCAGGCCCTCCTTTGCTTTTCTCAGCTTGGCTCCTCCAGCTCTTTGCACAGAGTAAGTGCTTGGGAGACAGAAATATTTAAGTGAAGGAAGGCCAGGGCCATGTTTCATATTTCTCTTGTGTCAACTGCAAAGCTGGGCACGGCACATGCAGGCAAAGAACCTACTGATGAACTGGTTTGCTTTGTTTTTCAAGAGCAGGCACCAGGCACACTGCTTAACGTAAGATAGTAGGTGCTCAATAAATATCTATCAAACACATACTTGCTTTTCTGTGTCACTGTGTCCTAGTAATGCAGGTCACAGGGTTTACCAGAGAGCTAGACAAAGTCCAAATGTGTTTCTTTAAGGGGAGTGAGATGGAAAGATTAAAAAAGACTGAAGTTTTAAGAATCCTCAAAAGGGCTCAATTGCAGACAGTGAACTACATTCACTCAGTAACCCAACAGCTCACATGACGAAATTCAGAGGGAACACTTTAAAGATGTATGTGCAGCTTCCAAAAAGCTAAATGAAGACCTATAGAGGTGGCAGGAGGATGTCAACAGGCAGTGTTCAGGGTGAGGAGCTGCAGAGCTGGTGCCAAATCCAGCTCGCTGCCTGTTTTTGTACATTCTGCAAGGTGAGAATAGTTGCTACATTTTTATTTTTATTTTTTCTTGAGACGGTCTCGCTCTGTCACCGAAGCTGGAGTGCAGTGGTGCAATCTCAGCTCACTGCAACCTCCGCCTCCCGGGTTCAAATGATTCTCCTGCCTCAGCCTCCCGAGTAGTTGGGATTAAAGGCGCCTGCCACAATGCCCGGCTAATTTTTGTATTTTTTGTAGAGACAGGTGTCTCTATAACTCTGCTTATTTGTAGAGATGGGTGTAGTTTTTGTAGAGATGGTGGCCAGGCTGGTCTCAAACTCCCGGACTCAGGTGATCTGCCCACCTTGGCCTCCCAAACGCTGGGATTACAGGCGTAAGCCACTGCACCCGGCCAGTTGCTACATTTTTAATTGGTCAAAAAGAAATTTTGTAAAAACGTATTTCACAACATGCAAAAATCATATGAAATTCAAATGTCAGTGTCCACAGTAAAGCTTTACTGGATGCCAGCCATGTCCATCCACTGACATAGGATCAAGTGTTTGCTTTCTCGAATGGGCAGAGTTGAGTAGCTACAACAGAGACTGTGAGGCCCAGAAAGCCTAAAATCATTCCTCTCTGGCCCTTTCAAGGTCCTTAAAAGGTTGCCAGCCCCTGCTGGAGAAAATGCAGGGTAAGCGAGGACTCAGAGCTCTGCCATGAAAGCCAGCATGAGACCCTAGCCCTGCAAGTCAGGTGCTGGCCACGCACCCTTGGTGCCGGCCACAAGCTCTGCCGGCTCACCTCCCAGACCCAGGGAAGAGCAGCCTCCGAGGTCAGGGGCTGGCGGCTGGCTTGCGGTGACTTGCCAGCTAGTGCTCTAGTCAGCCTCTCACGTCCAAGCCAGCTCTGTGCCTAGGCCTTGCCACCCCCACCCCATCCCTTTCTGCAGCTATGATCCCGAGCCAGGCAGAGACAGCGAGGGAGAGAGACGGGCCAAGTCTGTGTCCGGGTCACTCACGTGGGTGGGGGAGCTGCGGTTGCTCTCCTCCAGGAACTCCTCCAAGGTGACCATCTCACTGCTGGGGGAGGCCGAGCAGGGCCGCACTCCGACGTGGGGAGGAGCTGTGCCCCTCTTCTGGGCACCCTCCTGTGGGAGGGGCCCGTTCCGGGGCAAGGGGTACTCGTGGCGGCCGAGGGCATTGCGTCCTGGTGTGCTGGCTTCCCGGGGCAGAGTGGCCAGGTCCCTGCTAGGGATCAGGTCTTCGCTGCTGAAGCTCTCGGACCGGCCATGGAGCTGCTCGGAGGAGCCTGGGTGTCCAGGCAGGAGACAGAGGACCCTCATCAGTCTCGGCAGCCCTCTGATGGCTTCTAGAGGTTTCGTGCTGCCTTTGGCCCACTCCAAACTATCAGAGAGAAACCCCGGCCCAAAATCCCAGGGCTTACTCCCACCAGACTGAAAACTAAACAATCTTTCGGACTCCTTTTGAATTTCACTTTGCCTTTAAAAACAAAATACCTTGAGATAAAAGTGGAAAGCTTCTGCTAAAGTTTAAGTTATTACTGGCTGCAAGGCACTGCCCTTGTTAGCACTCGCTCATTCATGTATTCAAAGCTTATTCAGCACCTGCTACATGTGAGGGGCCAAATGTACAGGGAAGGTTCATGAAGAAAGACCACACTCTGTGCCTAACACAAACTATACATGTTCAAGAATCAAAATCCTCCAGATTTGTTCTGTGGCCACAGTAGAATGGAACTAGTGTTACTCTCCCCATTCTACAGATGAAGTAACCGAGACTCGAGACCTGTGACATGCCTGCATTCTCAGTGCTGCTCGGGGGAGAAGGGAGCTGAACCCCAACCCATTCTAACTCCCAGTCTGTGCCTGAAACTGTACAATGTGGCCTCTGAATGCGTCAGGATGCATTTGAAACCCCTAGTTATGTATTTTAAAAATTATAATAATATGAGCCCAGAGCCAAACCACCAATACACTTTCCCCGACCCCCACCAAAATAGGGTCTCGCTTCTGTTTTCCAGGCTGGAATGCAGTAGTACAATCACAGCCTACTACAGCCTTGACCTCCCAGGCTCGAGCGATCCTCCCACCTCAGCCTCCTGAGTAGCTGGGACCACAGGCATGCGCCACCACGCCTGGCTAATCTTTTGCTTTTTGTAGAGATGGGGTTTTGCCATGTTTCCCAGGCTGGTTTCTAACTCTGGCCCAAGCGATCCAGCTGCTTGGGCCTCCCAAAGTGCTGATTATAGGCGTGAGCCACTGTGCCCGCTCCGAATCAATTTTCAAAAGTACACAGAAGCAGATGACTTACCTTTTAGGTTAAGAGGTGAGCTGTTGCTGGATGTGTTTCTACTGCTCTCTAAGCTACTTGGCCGCGACACTGAAAGGAAATGGCAGTGTTAAAATCAAAAAGCCAATGAGCAGGTATATCCCAGATTAGCCATCTGAGAAAAACTACGCACTAACACAATCCTGTGCCAAAGCTAGGCCCAGTGCCCTCAGGAAGGAGGAACTCTGGGACTCCGTCTGCGCTCCAGTGAGGAAGCCTGGCTTCCCCAACAGAGTGCTGGGCACAGAACAAGTAGCCACCAACAGATGACAACTCTGCTTTTCTGCGTGTAGGAGGCCTGGGGCTGCCGCTTCACACAACTCCACAGAGGAAATCTCACACAGAACGCCAGCATAGAGGGCAGACAAAACAAGGCTGCTCTGGGTGAACCAGAGGTTGAGGTGGGGGGGGTCCTCCTCTATTACCGCACAGAGCTTTCTGGAACACATGCGGACAGCCTCAGCCGAGGCCATGGGAAGAAAGATGAGGGCTGTTCAGGACCATGTGTGTGCACATGTAAGTGCATGTACCTGTAACCAGTGAGATGTCACGTCAGGAGACCCACAGGTAGCAGGTGCCAGGGGCCTGGGAAGGAAGGGGGCACTCCCTTCTCCTGGATATTTGCTGTTCTTCAGTTTCTTTGTGTCCTTTGCCTTAAATTTACATCTGCCCCAAAGGAAGAAAATCAAGGCTTATGGTGCTGAGGGCACCTGCCCACCTGCTCTCCTGGCCACAGTGGGTGCTTGCCTGAGTGTGGCTCTGCCATGCCACCCCACTGCAGACTTTGGGGAAGGCTGGCACCATTCCCTACAGAGGGCAGGCCATCCCTTCCAGGGCCCGCAGGCCTCTCCTGGGTCACTCCTCCAGCGGCCCTATCTCGAGAGCGAACATGTCCATGCTGCTGTGCTATGAACCCCCGTGGCAGAGATGGCATTTCAGTTGTCCCTGCAACCCCCAGCACCCAGCAGGCGTTGAGCTGAGCCACCTCAGGAGCCTGTAGAGACACCTGGGGTTCCTCTGCTTGCTAGGCCACCAACGCAAGTTCATTCAGGTTTCCCGGGTCCACGGGGAACCTGGTTCCAAGGGCTGAGGTGCTCTGCAAACAGCAGCTGTCCAGAAAACACCTGCTAGCAAACATGTTTGAAACTGAGCCAAAAACATACTTGGTGATAGTGAATAGCTTAAAAACAGAATCGGTCCCCTCCCTGAGCAGTGACAATGTGAAATAAACAAATGCACATCTCTCTTTAAAAAAGAAGTAAATTTCAGTACAAGGAAACGGTGATAGCAATCAACGGTCTGAAAGCACCATTGTTTATTCAAGTACTGCAACGCAAATCCTTTTCCCTTCTTTTTCCTCAGAGAAGCTAGAGGAAACAGAACATTTATGAAAAAAGCTCCTATGGTTAGCTGACTGATCACAAATCTGGCTGCTCAGGGAGATGCCCCCAGCACACGAGGCAGATTTCTCCTGTTGCATTAGCCTCCACTCAGCGTAAAGATGTAAGACTCCCATTCATTCAATTGTTTCATTACAGTTTTTTTTTTTTTTTTGAGACGGAGTCTCGCTCTGCCGCCCAGGCTGGAGTGCAGTGGCCGGATCTCAGCTCACTGCAAGCTCTGCCTCCTGGGTTCACGCCATTCTCCTGCCTCAGGCTCCCAAGTAGCTGGGACTACAGGCGCCCGCCACGTCGCCCGGCTAGTTTTTTGTATTTTTTAGTATAGACGGGGTTTCACCGTGTTAGCCAGGATGGTCTCGATCTCCTGACCTCGTGATCCGCCCATCTCAGCCTCCCAAAGTGCTGGGATTACAGGCTTGAGCCACCGCGCCCGGCCTCATTACAGTTCTTTACTCAAGTAGAAGACTGTAAGAATGTCAACATCATCAAGCTTTTTAGACCGTGGATAGGGGTAGGAGGTGATGCCAGCTCCTACACTTACCAAGCCTTTCAGAAGTAAACTGAAATCGATGTAAACTTCTAAGGGTCTTTTTAGGATTATTTTCTCACACTTCTAGGGCTGCTTTTCAAAAATTAAAGCAAAGCAGCTTTTAATTTCTGAGAAGGCAGGTACTGTTTACTGCCTCCCTTCTGCAGAAATTTATAACATGCCCGAATCAAATGACAAGTGCTTCTAACAATTTCCAAGACTAAATACGCCTCAGAGCTACTGTGGGCAACCGCAGCCAAGTGAAGACAGTAAGGGACCTTCTTGAAATGAATGCTCCCCACCTGAGCCACTGGAACTTCCTGGCCAACCTGGAAGGGTGCTTGAAGGCATGAAGAGGAAAAGTCAGTGCTTCCAGAACTGTGATGCTTGGGAGGCAGCAAATTCCCCACCACTGGAGGTATGTAAGTAGAAGCTACATGCTGAGCCCCCTGAGGAGGGGAAGGAAGAATGGGTCCCCCATTCCCACCTTCATTTGGTGTTGGACTCCCCTACAGGACTCAGCTTAAAGGAAAGGTACCGTGGATAAAAACCAGTCTGGAAACGCAGACGCAGCACCCTCCCTACTCACCGTACTGCCTGTGGTTGGGGACCTCAAACTCCAGGGATGGCTCGCAGAGGTTGTCATCTGAGTTATAGGCTAAGGTGAAAATGAGGCTGGTGAGTCACGGTTACGGAACATCCCTCATCCACAGGGAACCCCGCCACCTCACCTGGCACCTGGATCCCAGCAGCTCCAGCTCTTGGGATGAGGGCGTGGTGTGCAGGTGCTGCCTTTGGGACCTGCCTCTCCTACCCCTCCACTATTTCTCCTGCTGAGCAACCCTGACACTCCCGATTCCCATCCCCTTTAAATCACTCTTCCACCTCTGCTGTGACTGGGACATGTGGACCAAAGGTGTGTTCTGGCCTAAGGATGATATAAAAAGAGCTGAATATTGAGTATCCTGGGGGGCCCCTTCCAGCCTCAGAGGCCAGCCCTGAGAGCAATTCGCTTTCAGCAGTCAAGTTGTCTTCAGGTGGCAGGAGGAAGAAGGAAAAAAAAGAGGCAAAATCAGAATCTACCCCTTGAGGGGACAGGCTGAATTCCTGGGGACTAAACATTGCACCAACAGCTCCTGACCAGAAACACACCTGGAAACCACGGGCCATCAAGCACTCGGCCTTTCCCTAAGAACTGGAAATGTCCCACGCCTCAATCCTGCTAGTTTCTACCTGAGAGCAGACCCTGGATCCCCTCCAAACTGACAACGGGGTCTCCATTTTGGAGATGGTGACATGCCCACCTGCAATGGATATCTGGAGTTTGAGCGTCCCTTGAGGTCAGGACCCTGTCTCTGTTGCTTTGTTTTGTTGATCAGACTCAAGGTTCTCCACGCCCAAGGCTTCAAGAGTCAGGTGGGTGGGTTTATTTATGCAAATTAACCCCTTCTTGCTCTCTCAGACTTCTAACATCCCAGAGGCAATCACTTTCAACTCCTTCATCTGTTTCTCTGGATATTTCCCTGTCTCTTATAAGGGGAATGCCCTTTTCGGTTTTAAGCATTCTCTCTTCCTTTCTCTTTGCATATTTTAAATTCCCAAATGCGCCTCCCTTCCCTGTTGCTTTTTTTATAGCATCCTGTTCTTGTTTCTTGGGTGCAATCATTTCTCTTATCTCTGATTTGAGTGTCACCTGGTAAGATCTGACTGAGCCATTCTGCTGGGACTCTCTCAGGCTAATGAGATTACTCAGAATATTTTAATCTCATGCCTAAAGATGTGAACTCGTGGCACCCTGGAAACAGGGAGTTCGTAAATCCTTCACTGAACCCATTTGATTTTAATACAGAACACTTGCCTCAACTGTGTCAGTGAACTTCCAGTTCAGAGACTCTATCCTTTCTTGGCCCGGTGTAGTGGCTCAACACCTGTAATCCCAGCACTTTAGGAGGCCAAGGCAAGAGCATTGCTTGAGGCCAGGAGGTTGAGACCAGCCTGGGCAACATGATGAGACCACATCTCTACAAAAAATTTAAACTACACACACACACACACAAATTTAAAATATATAATTTATCTTCTCTCGAGAAAAAAACTCCAAACTTTTACCAAGGTAGGGCAATGGCAGTTGCCTGGTTTTAGCCCAAACTCTGGTTCTCAGCCCACCTTCCCTTCCCTTCTGGAGCTATTTGGTGCCTTCACTTCCTGAATGCTGGTGGTGGCAGTGGGTTCTGAGGCCCCATTGCAATTAGGCCTCTGGAGGGTTTCCTGCCCAAAGTCCTTGGCTGGTAAACACAGCCACATCTGTGCCACCAAAGCTTGTCAGCGGCCTCACCCCTTTGCTCACCACCTATCAGACTGAGAGGAGAGCGACTCCTCTGAATTCCGAGAGCCTGGGGCCTTCGGAAGGGACATTAGGCCTGACGCTCATGGCTCTGGAAGGGCTCACAACTCACCTTTGGTGCGGCCCGGGTGCCGGGCGATGGGGGTGGAGCTGGAGGGGGCTGTAGTGGTGGCTGAAGTTGAGCAGGTCCGGGAGCCCAGCTCCGAGGGCCAGGACCTCATGGCCGGATCGGTGGAGGCATCTGTGCGGTCAAGGCTGCCTCTGTGCGGGGAGCCTCGCTTTGGTTTTGGATCCCCAGGGCCTGAGGCAGAAGAGGACATTGAGAAATGAGGCTGCCAAGTCCTGTGCCCTGTGGACAACCACACCATGGCCTAGAAGCAGGGCAGCAGGGCACAAGGACCACAGAGACAAAAGCGGGGCTGCCACAGCTCTCGGGCTGCGACTTAAAAGGGGCCTGGTGGGGCAGGTTGGGGCGAGAGGGCTTGGCCTCAGGCGGGTGTTGGAGGCCCCATTGAGGATGGCTCTGGCTCTAATGCTGGGGTCACACTGCCAGCCCTGAGAGGCTGGGAGGAAACAAAGGGAGCCCCTGAGGGGATAAACTGCTGGTAAAAGTCACACATACTCACTCTAGGACACATCTCCTGTGTAACACTGTCTGGAACTCGAATCCCTGACTTCCAAAGATCCTAACAGATGTCTGCCAGCTCCAAAACCTGCAGCTGAGGATCCGAAGGTCCTGCCGACTGGACTCACTAAGGACTTCAAATAGAAGTTTATTGCTAACCTCACAATATTCTGTGTTTTCAAAAAGGGAAGCCTTAATCTCTAACTGCAAGAAAATCTTTACCTTGTATCTTGTGCTTTTCTGCAATCTCTAACTTTTCTACCATGAACAAAAACTGGTCAAAATTAAATTAAATCATATCATACATAAAATCATAAAAAAAATACAGTCCGTAAGACCAGCTATCCCACAGGAAAGAGGACAGGCTCTCCAAACACAAGATAAAAATGAACACGGCTGGCATTCCTAAGAGCCGACGAAGCACTCTGCAGAGCGTCCCACTCCGTGTGCCCCGACGGCCATGGACCCAGAGCCAGGACTCATTGCTGCAGTTCGGCTTCTTCACCCGTGCAGCTGTCTGCCCTCCCCGTCACTCCCAGTCTGGGTTCACTGTGCAGTTTTAAGCGCCCAGAGCTGATGATTTGAAGTCAAGGGGAAATGTGGATTCTGAAAGATAACCTTGATGAGAAGCAAGACTCAAGTCTGCCTGAAGTGGGACAGGTGGAATGAATTGGGACAGGTGGAATGAATCGGAACAGGTCATCCTACAGGTGAAGCTAAAACAAGGATCCACGGGGGAGGCGGAGATGAACGAACAGTTAGCATGAGCAGCGGACAGAGAAAGCACAATTCCAACAGCGTGCGCAGGAGACAGGTCTGGAGGACCCGGCGCCGCGGCAGCCCAGGTTCCCAGAGCGAGGCTCATGAGATGAAGTCAGTGGCACGTTAACTCTCACATTTTAGTAGTTACGTGTTTATTCTTACGATTACCTTGTTTTTATGATGATACTTGTGTTTTCCACTTACAGGACTGATACTAATCTTTCCTTTTAATACATTTAACTACATACTGTGAATCAACGTAAGGGAAAACATGTAGGTAATCATATTTTTGTAGGTAATCATATAGATGGTATCAGGATATGACAAAAATAACGGAGGTGGTCCAGGGATGGCTGGAGACAGGAAATGCTCCGCCGGTAACGGCCTCGCGGGCCGGCTGGCATTTTCCCCTGCTCGAGGCATGATTTGTGTGCTGATGTTCTTTCTGTCTCCTGCTGTTTTAACTTCAGCATCCAAGATGTCAGAAAACAACAGCACAGTCATAAAACTTCACTCTGGGCTGAACTCTGGCTGGCAAAATCAATCCAATTAGTCAAAATGTCTGAACGGAACAATCAATCCTTCAAAACAGAACATATTTTATAAGGGCCTTACCGGAAAAGGCCCACAATTCAGTGCTCTGACAAAGGAAGAGGAGAGAAGGGCAGCAGTTTTAAATTTGGCTGCTTAAAAATAAAGTCTTAAAAAAACCCCTCACTTGACAGAGGCTGTATATTTTAGAAAGTGCAGCAACCACCCGCCAGTGCTGCTTGACACACGGGCAAAACATAAGCTCGCAGGTGCAAGAGACGGGAGAGGGGCACGGCCACTCGACTTACTTATTACGGACATCCTGGCCCAAGGACATGTGCACGTATATCCTGAGGCTCCCCCTAAAACTGTGTTGTGCTGAAGAAACGGTCCAGGGAGTGTGACAACTCATCTTCTATTTTGAAATCAGAATCCACGCTGGCTACTTTAAGCTTGAAATTGGGGGCAGGAGGAGGGGTCCGCTATCGGCCATCTGGCCTTTTAGACGCTGGCTTTTTTTGTTTGTTTGAATTTTGGAAATGGAGGAGGATACACAATGCAGACACATGATAAAGGAAAGGGATTAGAAATCTCCAATGTCGGAGAAAGAGACAGGCTCGTTAGGAGAGGATGGGATGTCGGAGGAAGACCAGAACCGCAGGCGTTTAGAGAGAGCTGGATGGGTCGTTGGAGACTTGTCTTTGTCCTTGTTTTTGCTTTTCAAAAAGGGACTCTTTTTGCGCGGAGGTGCTAAATTGTTACCAATTGGATAACCCAAAGGAGGAAGGAAAAAAGAAAACACAAATAAATGAAATGAACAATAATGACAAATGAATCGAAATTAGCTAAATGTACTTAAGAAATCAGAATCCCATCTTGCCCAGGAAAGATGAAAACAGTACACAGTACTCAGACCAGAATCAGGGCTCAGGAATCATCTGTGCTCTGACTCAATTAATTTAAAGGCACCTGAATGCCAATAACTTATTTCCTCAGCAGGTGAGGAGAATTACATACTGCCCAAGGGGCCAAGGTTTAGATGACTTTTCAGTTTCAGTGTGCCAAATTATTAAGCACGAATGCTTATTAGTTTAGGGCCCAGCTTCTCTTACTCATCCATTTTAATGACAGGGTCCCTAACAGCTCAGCTCACACAATCCTCCCGTTTCCACCCAAAGACTTTGGGAACACTCAATGATCCGTTTCAGGGCGCTGTAATCAAATACTCTACCTGAAGTATTCACTAATGATTTTGTATCTCTAAAATAATCTTTTGGCAGGACGAGTTTTAAAATAATTTAAATATCTCCTTTGCATATGATTCAAAACCAAGAATCATGATTTCCTTTTAGATCTTCTATATACATCCTCCACTCCAATCCTCCACTCCTTAGCCTTTAAATTACAGTGTCTTAACAAAGCAGACAATTGGGCTAACTTCTTAAACATGTCTTCTATTAACATTAATCGACCTAACCAATTTCTGATGTAGGATTAAAGTTGATGCCAGGATTTCCATTATTTCTTCCTCCACAGCACCACCTGGTGGCGACAGTGGTTCACACCACAGAAAAAGGGACCAACTCATTCAAGGTTGGTGTCCTTGCAGCCAGTTCAGGGCTAGGCTCTTGTTCGGCATCTTCAGGGACCCAAACAGCTTTACCCGGAGGCAGTCCATGCAGTTAAGTGCATGCAGTTAAGAGCATGCAGTTAAGAGCTCAGGCCCCGGAGTGTGGTCGACCTGAATTTGGGTCCCACTTACCCAAGGCAAGGGTTTCATTCACACTGTTGAGCCTCACTTTCTCAGCTCTACAAAGCGGAGGCCACTTTCACCTGCCTCAACAGGGTCGTTAGGAGTCAGTGAGATGCATAAAGCACATAAAGTAGTTAAAGGGTGCTGGACCCAGAGGGAGCACCCAAGACATGGTGGCTGCTAGCGATCGTGACCATGGTTACGGACCTGCTCGCTCATGGATCGCTTTGGACCAGTCAAGCATTTTTTTCTCTGAAAGTTTTCCTAACTCAGACTGATTCTAGCTAATTAATTCCACTTAAAACAGTAATACAAGTTGAGATGACAAACGTCCAAAAATTAAACAGGAGCCAATATAAAAACCTGAGGCAACAGAACCCCTCTAGATTAAAAAAAGTTAAGCTTATCGTTTACTGACGAGTCCTCTAATTTTTTTCTTTTTCTCACCCTGTCTTACGGTGCTGACGCTATCTAATCTCATCCCCATAAAGAATGACAGTATTAGTCCCCGGATAAGGTGCGTGAACATTATTTTTGTTAGAGATGGGGTGTCACTCTGTCGCCCAGGCTGGAGTACAGTGATAGCTCGCTGTAGCCACGACCTCCTGGGCTCAAGTCTACTGAGCAGCTAGGACTATAGGTATGTGCCACCACGCCTGGCTAAATTTAAAAAAAATTTTTTTTTTTTTTTTTTTTGTAGAGATGGGGGTTTCCCTGTGTTGCCCAGGCTGGTCCCAAACTCCCGGCCTCAAGTGATCCTCCTGCCTTGGCCCTCAAAGTGCTGAGATTATAGTGAGATTATAGGCATGAGTAACTGCATCAGGCTTTTTTTTTTTTTTTTTTTTGCATCTGAAGGAGACACAACAGGTACTTGTGAATGTGCCCCCCTGAAAGGCTTGTGCACACACCACACTCAGAGGGTAGCCTGTTGCTGGTCCTCAGTGCTATATCCTCTGCCTCCAAGACCTCATGGGTCTCAGGCATAGGCGGGGTCTTCAGAAAGTCCTGGTATCCTTTGTAAAAATTTAAATGACTCGGGATAAACAATCCCCCCAAAATGGTATTTAAAGGTAAAGCTGAAAATTTAACAATGTGTAAGGTAAATGCTGTGTCTAATCGATTCTAAGACACATTTTTTTTCCCTATACTTTAACATCTCGGAAATTAGGAGGCAGTTTCAATGGTGTCTCAGTCACCACTGGCCAGGTGGCCACAGTGACAAAACGGACATTGTCATAACCAACTCATCTTGCTCCTATTTTCCTTTCATGTGTGTGTACAAAAATCGAATTCTTATTTAGAAAAGCTCTTTCAGCAAGAGCATAATACAAATTCGAAGTGGTGGCCCTGTACCGTTTGATTGCCTCGTGGTATATAGAGTAACTGTACAGCTTTTGTGTCTCCTGAGAGGTGATGAAATCCAGCATACATGACTAGAAACCCTGTTCTTGTTTCAGAACCTCTGGCAAACTCCAAAGGACAGCCCTGAGGGAAAAGGCACAGGGTGTCCTATGGCTGGTGGGACACAAGGCCAGATCAGGCTGAAGAAGTCGTAACCCACCTTTCAAAGTGGTAACAGATGAATCACCCAAGGGCTTTCAGGACATCTTATATACATGGAGAATGTGTTGAGTGCACCTGGGATGTTTAGGACATAGCTAGCCCTCCCACACACCCCACATATGAGGGAACCTCAAAATAAGCTTCCTTGCTTGTCTCTTTGGTACCTGCACGAATGTCAGCTTTGGATATTCAAATATCTGCCTGGCTACGTGATGAATGATGCTTTTCATTCTAAAATAACAAAAGCTGCTGGGCGTGGTAGCTCAGGCCTGTAATCCCAACAGTTTGGGAGGCTGAGGCGGGTGGATCACTTGAGGTTAGGAGTTCAAGACCAGCCTGAGGCGGGTGGATCACTTGAGGTTAGGAGTTCGAGACCAGCCTGGCCAACACGGTGAAACCCCGTCTCTACTAAAAATAAAAAAAATTAGCCAGGCGTGGTAGTGGGCGCCTGTAATCCCAGCTACGTAGGAGGCTGAGGCAGGACACTCACTTGAACCTGGGAGGCAGAGGTTGCAGTGAGCTGAGATCATACCATTGCACTCCAGCCTGGGCAACAAGAGTGAAACTCTGTCTCAAAAAAAGTAAAATAAAATATAAAATAAAATAACAAAAGCATTATGGGACAAAATGGTCACCATGCTGACATTTCTACTTGGCTCATAACACACCTAAGCAGAAGGTGCATGTGCAGTCACTCACCCCCGGCACGTTCCTGCACAGGTGTGCACAGCCACCGGCGAGAGACCCTTCAGGACACCCCCTTCCTCACCCAACCACGGCCAGGGCGGCCGCCCCTACCTTTCCCCGCAGACCCGTTGTGGGCGTCGCGCTCTTCTGTACAGCTGGAGCCCAGTGGGGGGGTGTCGGAGATCTCGGGCTGTGATCTGAGAGGCTGAGAGGCCGCCGGCGAGGCGGGGTCTGGGGACTCCAGCTGCCAGGGAGGGCTGTCCACGGTGGATTTTAAGCGTTCCCTCGAACCCTCTTTCTTTGGTTTGATGAGTTTGACTAAGGCTTTGGCTCCAATCCAGTGGTTCTTCCTAGTTAGAAGTAGATGTTTAGGACATAGCCAGCCCTCCCACACACCCCCAGCGGTCCCTGGTTCCCTAACGTGGGCTGGGATGTTCTTCCCCAGTCTGGGAAGTTTGGCCATGTGCACGTGGGGTTCAGGACGATGATGCTCATGACCATGGTAATCGTTTTTGGGGCTCAGGAGCTGGAACCTAATTCTCAGTTTGGCGCAGGGCTGGGGATGGTAGAAGCATGTGCATCATGACAGAAATCCACTCTAGTCTCCCAGAATAAAGGAAGTGATGCCGGGCTTAATTTAGTTGGCAATTTTTCTGTCAAAAAGCCATTTCCATGAATCTCATTTTGTGCTAAAGTTAATCATCAGTGAAATAAGCTGACATTCCCCTGACTCCTCCCTTGCACTGAGCAATCTGGGTGAGTGGAGAGGGCAGAGCAGAGCAGCCTGTTTGATTAAAAATCAGTGCATTTAAGGAGTAAGCAGTAACATCACAGCGAGCTGGACACCGAGGGCATCCTGGGGTGACATGAAGAGAACCCCGCCTGGGCTCTCACCCTGACTCTGAAACTAAACAGCGCCTATTTATATTATCACTCCAGTTGCTCATCTGGGCTTCAATTTCTGTGTCAAACAAGACTCAGACCAAGGTTCTGGGCCAGGCACGGTGGCTCATGCCAATAACCCCAGCACTTTGGGAGGCCGAGGCAGGTGGATCACTTGAGGTCAGGAGTTCGAGACCAGCCTGGCCAACATGCTGAAACCCCATCTCTACTAAAAATACAAAAATTAGCCGGGCGTGGTGGCACATGCCTGTAGTCCCAGCTACTCGGGAGGGTGAGGCAGGAGGATGGCTTCAACCTGGGAAGCGGAGGTTGCAGTGAGCTGAGATTGTGCCACTGCACTCCAACCTGGATGTCACAGCGAGACTCTGTCTCAAAAAAAACCAAAACCAAACCAAAACAAAACAAAAAGCACACACACAAAAACCAAAAACAGACTGAGGTTCGGAAATTCTGTGGTTCTGGATTCCCAGAGAGACCTCAAGGGATTTGCGGAGATTTTGACTTCAAGGCTGGGCCAGGACAATCCGAAGGGACAATTCCTTGGGTTCAGGCCGTGGACAAGGAGCAGCACTGCTAGGCTGGGCCAGCTCCACTCAGGGAGGAGCTGCTGCTCTCTGGGGAAGAGAATGTCGGTGAAGCCACCCTGAGGTTCTGTGCATCCAGAAAAATCTGCATGCGGTCCAAAGGTTCCCACCTTTGAAGACCATGGGGGCTGGGCCAAGTGTGCTGCCCGAGCATCCTTTCCAAACCAAGAACATGGGTGTCCACACCATGTTTAATCCTGAGACAAAACCCTGACAAGGCAGCCCTGCCATCCTGCTTGAGTGACTCCAGTACCACGGATGCTCTGTCCCCTTCAAAGGCCCACAGCTAAATGAAGCCTGTGTCTCACTGGGGTCACCCGGCACTGGCCGCCCCTCACAGGACAAGCCAGAGTACAGAGGCAGGCGGAAAGGATTGTAAACTCTCTCTGATGTGGGAGACATCTGTCACAGGTGATCTGCCACACAGCGGACGGTGTGGGGCCTGCCCTAGATGGCTGCTTTCACCCTGTGCACAAAAAAGGAAGCTTTTAAGTTCTGTCTTTATGTCACCACACTTAAATCAACTCACTTCTTTGGAGGAGGATCATAGAACTTGTATTGATCCATGATTTTTTCTTCCAGCTTTTCCTTATGTCTTCGTAAGGCATTTAATTTGTCTCTGTGAATACAGGAGAAAGAAAACCTATCAATCCAGTTTTAAATCAAACAAGTGAATTTACTCATTGGCCCAGCCTGGAATCTTGTGCACCCGGGGTTGGTATTCTTCCAGGATTGAGATGAGGTTAGTCATCACCGTCATGGTCGCTGAGTTTGGAATACGTGAATGGAGGCATGCGCCGTGGGTTCAGGGAGCCCTGTGACCCTGAGATTTACTGAAGCCCCTGGGACCCAGCTCAAGGCAGCAAACTTCTAACAATCTGAAAACTCACACTCAAGACCCAAGGTTTCTCCTTCCAGGTTGTTCAAGACGTGGGGTGCTCCTGGGGTCAGGCAGAAGCTACTCCCCGGTGGTGAGGGGGTGGGGTTCAGGGGGTACATATTACCACCACCTGGGCATTGAGGTTGAAAAAGTCAGCTCAGCAAAGTCAGATGCGTGACTCAGGGCTGTTCCCCCTCAGAAGCAAACTCAGAAGCTTTCAGGGGCCAGAAAGAGAAGTTAATGAGCACAGCAGGGCTGGAGAAACCAGGGACCCTGGTGGGGACTGCAGTGAGCTCCTGTGCTGCCAACGCTGGCAGACGACTGCCATGGGGGAATGAACCAGGGCACAGCAGGGCGGACCTCCCAAGAAGCCAGATGCCCAGATGATGAAGCCAAATCTCCCAATTCCTAAATATTGGAAGCTGGGTCATTTTTCAAGAACTCTGCAAGGGACCAAAGAGATATCTCTTGAATCTTGGGCAGGCTCAGGCACCTCTGCTTACCGGGGAGATCTTGGCCTTCCTCATACAAACAGAAAGCTTCTGTTTGCACTTAGGGAGTCACAGGGCTGCGTCCACAGTGCATTCGGAGCAGCGCTGCCCACGGTACTGCGGACTACTGCCTCAGCGCTGGGTGGTCTTGAGGGCCCAGACCCTTGGTTTCCTCAAGGCCTGAAAACAAGGCCTTACATGAGAGATAACAGCTCATTCTCGAAGCTGCCAAGGTCCTGACCCAACCAAGGCCTTTCCCAAGAGCTCACGATGAGGTGAGCCCCTGTAACAAGCGATCTCAGCCACGCTCCGCTCCCAGTCCCTCGACTCGACATCTGTGTGCTGGTGTTCTGTGCTCATGGCCGTGCTGCTGAGCCTTAAGCCTTGAGTGCTTCATGGCTGGGGATGGCCCCACAGACTCACACAAACTCCAGGGCCTGGAGCAGGCCCCAGGAAGCCTGCCAACCCGCTGGCCTGGAGTAGACACTGTCTAATGCAAAAACGTCATCAAATAATCCCCCTGAGTGCTCCTACACTCCTTCTAGTTAGCACCTGCCCAACCTCTGCTGGCGATTTTTATCACCAGGATTATAGAGGGCCAACTTCAGGGTCATTTCCACCCCACAATTACAGTGTGCTTTTACATACAAACCATCCTCCCGAAGGTGGCACGCCAGCCCTAGACACGTAGGTGAAGCCAACAGAATAACAAAGGGGCATCGTTACATCAGAGAGCTGGGACAGCACCCTGGTGTTCACTGTGACCACAGTGATCATGTCCCACCACAAGCACGTCCCTTCTTGCCTTCCCCATACTGATGCCAGCACACCCATGCTTGCCCGGACGCCAGTACCAGCCATTCCCGATCACGTGGAAGGACAGCCCCACCACCATGGCCAGGATCCAGAAACCACTCTAGATTCTTCATTTCTCGACTTCTGAGCCACGAGATTCCTGGCACCAGGGTTCATCCTCTTGCCCTCTATTTCTGGAAGCTTCTCTGGTCCTGCTAGAGTAGTATATCTTCCAAAACAACTCCAGGAATCCAACATCTTTAGCTGGACACGGAAGCTACCACAGCTGAGCGTACACCTCCTTTTCCAGCCTTCTCTTCAGATGCCCCTGCACATTCCCCGCACTTAGACCACCTGCCACAGCTCACCTTCTTGTCCTCACCTGCCACGGCCCCCCTTCCTGTCCTCACCTGCCACGGTCCACCTTCCTGTCCCCTCACCTGCCACGGCCCCCCTTCCTGTCCCCTCACCTGCCACGGCCCACCTTCCTGTCCCCTCACCTGCCATGGCCTACCTCCCATGGGCCTCCCCCAGGCCCTCCGGGGTAGCTGTGGACTTCAACTCCCCCTATGTTTTTTTCCATGCTTCATGTAACCCTTCACATCTGGCTGGTAATGGACAAAGCTTTGTTCACATCTGACCTCCCCTACCGGTTCCTGGCTACCAGGGGACTGGTTCTGTGCACCTCACAGGGCCCACGCTTAAACCAGCACCTCGTAAATACCAGCTGAGTGAGGCCAACTGGGGCACACCAAGCCCACTTCCCTCCATCCAGGGGGACACGGACAGGTGCACAGCACTCATTCCCAGCCTTCAGTTTGAATTCTCCCTGAGATACTTCAGTGTTCTCAAGATTTTTTAAAGTGAATTTAATTCTAGAAGCAGAGAAAAGAAGCTTCTGGTGGTGGAAAACACCTCTGAAAGAGCAAACAAGAGCCAACTGCCATCACCTCTAGAAACTGAGAACATTCCAGGAAACTAAGGGAAGTCCACGCTGGTGACCGGTCTGTGCCCTGCCCGCAGGATCCCAAAGGGCCCAGGGGGTCCTCTTTGCACGGGAAGCCAGGATGTCCAGAGACTGAGGACGTGTAACTGTGGTGAGGGTGTGGAGAGCGGTTTGGGGACTCCCTGCTTACATGTACTGCTTCTGCTCCTCATGGTACTGCTCCTTGTTCTCCATGTTCTGCTCTAGAAGCATCTGGTTCTGCTGGCTCAACAGCTGGATCTGGCTCAGGAGGTGATGATTTTCTTCCTCCAAGTTCCCCTTGAGACGGGAGAGCAGCTAGAACACAGACCAACAGCATCTCAGACACCACGTGACCAGGTGATCCCACTGCTGGGAACCTAGCTTCCAAAGGAAGAAGGCCACTGCACAAAGATGTTCAACGCAGTATAATCTACAGCAGTGGAAACGTGGAAAGGGCCAAACGGCCAATGACGTGGGAATGGCTGAGTTCCCTCTGTCCAATCCAGATGTCTATGGCAACATGTGGCTACTGAGCAGTAAAATGCAGCTACTCTGAATCATGATGCACAAGTGCAAAATACGCAACAGATTTTGAAGGCTTACTACAAATAAAAAGAGTATGAAAAATCTCATCAATAATGTTTTTGTTTGTTTCTTTTGAGACAGAGTTTTGCTCTTGTTGCTCAGGCTGGAGTGGAGTGGCATGATCTCGGCTCACTGCAACCTCCGCCTCCCGGGTTCAAGCGATTCTCCTGCCTCAGCCTCCTGAGTCTCAGCTGGGATTACAGGCGCCTGCCACCACGCCCAGCTAATTTTTTGTATTTTTAGCAGAGACAGGGTTTCATCTTGTTGGCCACGCTGGTCTCGAACTCCTGACCTCAGGTGATCCACCCGCTTTGGCCTCCCAAAGTGCTGGGATTACAGGTGTGAGCTGCCGTGCCTGCCCTGAAGTCTGCCAACTTCTGTTCTAGAGTATGATTGGGGTGCAATGGGAAAATCACAGGCTTTGGATTCCAATGCGCGACTCTGAGAAAGGAGGATGGGCTCATGGGGCCACCGTAAAGATTAACACAGAGGAGAACACAGCAAAATGCCTGGTGCACTGGAGGTGGGAAACACAGGCTGTCCCCTCCTCGTCACCCCATTAGCAATTACAACTCTGACTTCAGAAAAACCAAAATTCTCCCTGTTTTTAATGTAATTATACATAATTTATGCATACAGTGAGAAGAACTGGAAGGGAAAAGGTGAGGCTATGGCATTTTTTCACTAAAAATACTTCTGTGATTGCCACTGCTATATTACTTGGGCAACAATGAAAACAAATACCATAATAAAGCATTAGTCTCCCCAGTGTGGAGAACTGCACGAGGCTTGGGGGTCAGGCACATCACAAACGTGGCAAGTCAGCGGTCTGTAGGGAGAAAGGCCGTCCCTGGAAACTCAGCTTTGGCCCAGTGGAAAGACCCTGTGTGGCCGGGGGGCTCCCAGGAAACCAAGCCGGCTGGGCCCCGCCCTTTAGCCCAAGTCCATGATCCTGAGGGCCAGTGCATCCCAGTAACAATGGGGGAGCTGCTCTTCCACCTCATTAGATGCCGGGCAACAAACCAACCCAATGTAAGGCATACGGGCTCCTGGAGAGAGGCGGGGTGGAAGGAGCGGAGAGCCCGGCTCCGAGCACAGCCACGCCCTCATCACTTCACTCATGCTGCTTCGCTTTGGCCACAGGGTGAACCATGTCCCCAAAATTCATACAGTGAAGCCCTAAGCCCCAGTCCCTAGCATGGGACTGCATTTGGAGACAGGGCTCATAAAGAGGCCATTAAGTTAAAATGAGGCTGTGGTGAGGGTGGCCTCTGATCCGATCTGACTGATGTCCTTTCAAGAAAAGGAAATTTCGACACACAGACACTGGGAATAAGCCCACAGAGAGAAAAGAGCACCGCCTGCAAGCCAGAGAGAGGCCTTGGGAGAAACCAGCCCTGCCGGTTCACGGATCACGGATGTCCAGCCTCCCAAGCGGGATAAACCCACTTCTGCTGCTTAAGCCACCTGGCTTGTGGTCTTTCGCTCCTCCAGCCCAGGGAGACGAACATGGCTTCCATCTGCGGCCTGTTTGGGGAGACTGGTTTGTGCTGGATCTGGAGTTCCGCTGAATCCCTCCCCAGAAGCCACCATCCTGGCCACAGCCCTTCCCTCCTCCCCTCTCATGACCTGTGTTCCACCCTGAGTGAACCATCAGCATCTTCCAAAAAGCCTCCCCATCCATTTCTGTGCAAATCAGTCCTTCCCATGCAAAGCCTACCACACGTGTCCAGCTCTTGCCAGTCCTTCACTTCACCACAAGTGTGACCTTTTCCACGGGGCCTGCCTTGCAGCCCCTGACCTGAGGCCTCCTGGAAAATCCTGACACACCTGCCTGTGACAGCACAGCCCCCGGGGCAAGGATTCCACAGGCAGTGCCGTGGCCTTTGCCTCCATCCTGCCTCCACCCCCATGGGGGCAGCATGAGATCCAGGTGAGTGCACCCTGCGCCTCGGTTTCCTCATTTGTGATGTCTCACAGGGCTACCGAGGGGTCTGGACAAAAGGCGTCTGAGACTGTTTTTTTTTTTTTTTTTTTTTTTGAGACGGACTCTCGCTCTGTCGCCCAGGCTGGAGTGCAGTGGTGCAATCTCGGCTCACTGCAAGCTCCGCCTCCCGGGTTCACGCCATTCTCCTGGCTCAGCCTCCAGAGTAGCTGGGACTACAGGCGCCCGCCACCACGCCCGGCTAATTTCTTTTTGTATTTTTAGTAGAGACGGGGTTTCACCGTGTTAGCCAGGGTGGTCTCGATCTCCTGACCTCGTGATCCCCCCGCCTCGGCCTCCCAAAGTGCTGGGATTACAGGCTTGAGCCACCGCACCCGGCCGACTGTTTCTTGACAAAAGAGCAAACCTTGTCCTGAGGTGCCAGCTGTCCCTGGGGCTGTCTAGGAGGTGGGGTGAGACCTATGTGCTCCTCCCTGCCAGACCTGCCTCACCAGCCTTCCGTGTGCTGGGGTCTGTTAAGATCTCATCTGGAGAGGGTCTTGCTGCTTGAGACCATTTCCAACCTTGTGTACTAGAAGGGAGGGCTCTGGAAGCCGGGGACTCCTGAGTGAGCTCCGTCCCAGAGGCAGCCACACCCCCAAATGGAGCAAATTCACACCACTGCTCTAGAACAGTGTGACTTCACACCACTGCTCTAGAACAGTGTGACTTCACACCACTGCTCTAGAACAGTGTGACTACGGAACTGAAGAGATGTAGGAAGACAGCGTAGACACGGCCAAGAGGATCGAGATAAAACATCATCAACCGTCCCCACCGGGCCTCTCCCGACCCTGCAAAAGGCAACGGTCAGACGGCGGTTTTCGTGTACAGTCGCACCAGAAGCCGCACTGACCCCGTCAGCACCTCTGGCTTCACCACAGCCTCTGTGCCACCTCCACACATTTGTGTCTTCGCGCACAAATGCCCATGAGGACCCCTCACAGCCTGGCTGAGTCCTGGGTTGTCCCCTTGGGGGACTCATCCCTGTTTCCCGAGGCTCCCCCGACGCGGGCCTCACCTCGCAGTGGTTGTCCAGCTTGGTCAGCGAGATGTCCATGGTCTGGTGCTGCTCCTTCAGCTCGTCAAAGCGGGCCTGCCAGCGGTTGAGCTCCAGCTGCGCGTTGTTCAGTGAGGTTTTCAGCTCCTTGGTGTGAGCGTGCAGCTCCTCGTACTCCCCCTTCAGCTGGTGGTGCAGGAAATTGACCCTGGAGGGGGAAGAGTCACAGGGCAAAGGGGCTGAAGAGCCTGCCAAACAGGTATCAGCCCAGAGGCCTGGGCTATGTCCCAGCTCTGTCAGTGGCAGGCTGTGCAACCTTAAACAAAATCACAACCTCTCTGGGCCTTTTTATTTTTTCCCCATGTGTAAAATGAGGAGCTTGAACAAAACTGTCCATCAGCAAACTGTGTTCTTTGGGGTTCCATGAGGGTACCCTTGATGCCACCACACTGAGCCTACAGGGAGACTGAGCAGGCAAGCTCATGAGCAGACAAGCTCAGACACCTGTTTCAACACAGCATCATGCTATGAGCTCTTCTATGCTACAGCTGTGGTATCTGTGTACACTTGAAAAATAGGATTCTGCTGTTTAAAAAATGTTTAAACCACTGAACTAGAACATTTTTGCTCTAAAATTCTATGTCTCTGCCCAGCTTTTCTTCCCAATTCCAAGCCCCTTTCTAATTTCACCTCCTGAAATAAAGCGTGAGATGGTGTGTATTACGTAAATCTACTAAAATTACCATCATCAAAACAACTATTACCCAACTGGGAGTTCCCTGGAGATTTGTATCAGAAAGCTCAAATTACCAGGGTCTTGTGGACTTGATTTGGACATAGACGTGTCTTATTTGGCCTGTACAATTTTACTTTTTAAAAACAAATTAGTTGGCCAGGTATGGTGGCTCATGCCTGTAACTTCAGCACTCTGGGAGGCTGAGGAGGGAGGATTGCTTGAGGCCAGTTCCACACCAGCCTAGGCAATACAGTGAAACCCCCATCTCTGCAAAAAGTAGAAAAAAGTTGCCAGGAACCTGGGAGGCGGAGGTTGCAGTGAGCTGAGATCACGCCACTGCACTCCAGCCTGGTGACAGAGCGAGACTCCATCTCAAAAAAAAAAAAAAAACGTTGCCAGGCACAGTGATGCACACCTGCGCTCCCAGCTATCTGGGAGGCTGGGCTGGGAGGATCACTTAAGCCCGGGGGTTGAGGCTACAGTGAGCCGTGATCATGCCACTCCACCCTCAGCGGCTAAACAAGATCCCATTTCAAAAAAAAAAAAATTAGTCGCCAACATTAAAAAATGTGAAGTTTACATCAACACCCAAACATTCAGGTTCTCTTAAAATGTAAGAAACAAAAGGCTGACCAGGCAGTCCTGGGCCTGCCTCCAGCTGGCGGCCTTTGCTGGAGCCGATTCTTTGCTGCCCTTTTAGATAATGTGCATTCTCTGTTCTACGGTCTGTGGTCTATGTCTGGCAGTGTTTCACCCATGTGCTTGATTTGCCTGGAGAGCCAAGGTATCTGAGTTTCTAACCCCCCGTACACACTCATTCAAGTATGTGGGAGGAGGAAGAATTTCGTATGGTCAAGCCTTTGCAATGAGACAAGACCTGGATTCCATCCTGACTCTGCTGTTCACTAGAAACACTGACTTGGAACAAGTTATTTAATCTCTCTCAACCTGTTTCCTCATCTGTTTAAAGAAAAGTCAAAAAGATAATAATAGTATAGTCGATTCTCATTATATGTGGTAGTCATGTTCTATAAAGTTGCTGTAAACACTGACTTAGTGAACAGTGAAGCATCCAGCCTAGGGAAAAAACACAGAATTAGGTTCCCAGGAGCCTCTGGTCACATTTTTGTTACTTGATCAATACATAACCTTGTTTTATGTGGGTTTCTGTTTAAAGATACCTTATGTAACATAGTCACAGCCAACAGCACTATAACTCATACCTGAACAAAGCTTATCTAAGACTTTTTTCTCTGTAAGGCACATCACAGCCACCTTCTGCTTAGGGACATGAAACAGCACTTCAGTACTACAATTGTGGGTCATTTTAAACAGCAAAGTCACTTCCCGAAAGCACAAAATCTGAAAACCGTGGCACTGAGGAGATTCTGAAAGGGACATTTGTTTGCAGTAGGAGCTGAAACAAGAAGGCAGCGTGTTGTCGTGTGTGCTCTCAGTTGGGAACGTGCGCATCCAGCAACTCCCACATTTCACCACTCGGTACGGGTCCACGAAAGCTCCACAGAGACTGGTCTTGGGGTGGCAAATACAACTTTAGCAAGTAGGTGGATTCACAAATAGGGGCTCTGTGAATCATGAGGAATCTGCAGCTTCTCCTTTATGAGCATGAGGTGGGCTTATGCCAGATGATGAATTCACCTGTGCCTGATGCAATCCTCACAAGGGTCGGAGATGGCCGGGGGGAGAACCACCCAACTCAGATGACGCACCATCCCCAGGTGTCACCTGAGTCCTGGCATGCCAGTAACCAGCTGGAGTTACCCTTTAGCTTATTTTACCCACCCAGCTGTTCACATAGCAAGGGATAAAAATCCACCATTGCCAGGGCACTCGACCTTCTCAGTGGTTGCTATGCAAGGAGGGTCTGAACAGAATCGGGGGTGCTGAATGCCGCTGCGGGCAGGGCTGGGCGCCGGCGCTCACCTGTCCAGTTCGCCCCGCAGCCTCTGGTTCTCGCCCACAGCGAGGGCGTTTGTCCTCTGCTCCTGCTGCAGCGCCTCCCGCTCCGTGGTCAAGACCTTCTCCCGCTCCTCCAGCTCCGCCTTGCGCTTCAGCATGTCACCGTGTCTGTTGGAGGGAAACACCTCCTGTGAGTGTGGCCAGGGCCTTCTTTTCCTACAGGTAACTCACACCCCAGAGGATCTGCGTGTCTCCTGTGAGAAAATGGGATTCCTCTGGAGATTCTCTCTGCAGAAGTGAGGGGCATGGGGCAGGGAGCAGGCGGGGAGTGCGGCCACCGGGAGTCACGTCCAGGCCAGTCCCGAGCCCCGGAGCCCAGAATCCTCTTCCTCCAGCCCGATTTGCCTCCATAGTCCCTCCATGCCCTGATCAAGCGGTCCCTCTTCCTTTAGCCACCTGACAACGCGATGACTACATTTTCTGAGCTCCATGCCCCTCTCTTTTAGAGAATTACAAATAAGCACAAATAAATCTAACAGAAACCATAAAACGAACAGTGGAATTCCACTGCACATCACAGCTAATCCCCCCCTCCAAGGGCTGGAGAAGCCTCTCCCTCTCCCCTTCGTGCTCGCATCCACTTTTTCTTAGTCTGGCCTCCCCCAGGGCACAGAGGCTCACCCAGGAGCTGCCAGGGACTAGCTGTCACATACACACAGCAGCTCTCCTCGGCCCCTCAGCCACAGCCCTCACCTTCCCCACAACTTTCTCCCTACCCTCCAGGCTCTAACCTTCTCCAGGCTCTAATCTTGTCCAGGCTCTAATCTATCTTTGTTGGTGCACTGGCCATCTCTGGGGGGCAGAGTACAATGATGCAGCCGCATAGGCCCTGGCCCCTCCCCTTCCCAGCCTGTTTCAACCTCGTGTGTTTACGCGTGACCCAGGATCTCCTAGCAGACTGGAAGTGTTGAGAAGTCTGAGGCACGGTCTCCTGATCTTCCTCATTCAGACAAATGCTTCTCTACAGACCCCTTCCTGAGTGTCTCACACCCAAAGACAATCTGACAGAGACTAGCCAGTGTCCCTGGGGTTTCCAGCCTTTCTCTTCAGGACTCCACTGCACCTTGTTGGAAAAGCACATTAATCAAGCATGTCTCTAACCATTAGCAAATGACCCAACTGTAGGGCGGAAACTTTATAAGTCTTGCTCACCACTGAATGGCCGTGTGAGGAATGACACGTAGTGAATACCTGTTAGAGCAATGAGTGAGTGAGCATCTCTGATTTAAAAGTGTCAAATGAGAAGAGAGAACCATCATCCTTGCGTGCCATGTACCTACACTCCTAAACCTGTAGCCCTGCTGCAGACACACCAAGGGAGCCTCCAGTCATCTGTCCAGCCAGCAAAAAGCACTGAGTAACCACCACATGCTGTATTGAGCAAGGACCTGCAGGGAAAACAACAGTCCAAACTCCACCTGCCAAAACCTTTGCCCTCTGAATGCACATTAAGAATACAATAAGGGGCCCAGGCACTGTGGCTCATGCCTGTAATCCCAGCACTTTGGGAGGCCGAGGCAGGTGGATCACTTGAGGTCAGGAGTTCAAAACCAGCCTGGCCAACAAGGTGAAATCCCATCTCTACTAAAAAATACAAAAATTAGCCGGGTGTGGTGGTGCATGCCTGTAGTCCCAGCTACCTGGGAGCCTGAGGTAGGAGGATTGCTTGAACCCAGGAGGTGGAGGCTGCTGTGAGCCAAGATCACTCCACTGCAATCCAGCCTGGGCGACAGATTGACTCCATCTCAAAATAAATAAATAAATAAAACAATACGGCATTATTTAATATGACATAACATAACATAACACTAAGAATAAGGCACACAAGTGCCTGGTGAGTGCTGGGCATCATGCTGGTATCAGACGGACACAAATGCTTCATTAGTTTGTCAACTGGGTGCAACTCCTACCACATCTAGACACAGCACCACGTACACAATAAATATCACACAAATAACAAGATGGGTGGGGGAAGATGAGGGAGAGATCAAAGTGCCAGGAGGCAGAAGATGCTACTTTAGGCCTGAAGGAGTAGTCTTATAGTTTCAGATGCCTCAACAGCCCCTGAAGGATGGAGATCTGGATGGATAAAAGGGGTGAAGAATTCCAGATAGAGACAAAAAGGAAGCACTTGGTAAGTGAATAAATGAATGTCGTCACCACCCATGAACCCACAAGCATCATCAGTGCCCACACAAGGCTTTTGTGACTCATGACATTTGTGCTCCTGACCGTGGAGATGTCCTCCCCACTCCCACCTTGAAGAACCAATGATCACTCAGCCATGTTGTTGAGGCTGCTTCAAAGGAAACACCACCAGCAGGGCCACTTCCCAGGCAAAGGAAAGTGGATCTTGCTCCCTCTGTTGTACTCCAAATATCTGAGAGCCTCTCTTTAGCCACATCTCTCTCATGCATCAGATTCAGGTACACATCACAGCTGCCCCTCAGACTCTGGAGAGCAGCATCCTACCTCTCCTAGCCCTCCCAGGATCGTGCCATGCTCTGTGCTGGTGCCTGGTACCATCACTGATTAGCAGGAGACAGAATCCCAGTCCAGGTTGGCTGACTTAATGAATACAAAACCCAAGACCATAAACCATCAAGAGTGCAAAGTTAAAATGTCTGCATTTCAATGTATGTAAGTTTTACCTGTAAAAAATGGGGCTTGGGGATGGAGAGTGGGAGGTGCACATGAAATGAGAACCGCAGGACATAAATGACTGTCAAGGGTGCATGACACGTACACAAGAGTTTCACTATATGATTCTGCTTACTTTCTGTATGTTCGGAAGTTTCCATAATTAAAGGTTAAAAATGAAAGAAAACAAGCGAGACCTTGATATGAAAGAGCTGGGAGGCCAGAGAAGGCACACCCCTACAAACGGAGCCATGGAGAATTCCCTCCTTATTTCTGTTTTGGGGAGAAAAGAGAGAAGAGAACCCTTAGGGGTCAGGGCCGCAAAGGCCCACTGGAAGTAGTAGAGGCACCCCCTTCTTCACACAGGACCCCTTCTTGCTACTATCTCCAGTTGCACAAATTCCATATTGCTGAAGGTAACGTTTTATTTCCTTCCCTTTGGGAAAGCTCAGGTGCCCCAACAATGGGAAGCAGCCAGACAAGAGATTTCCTGCAGGGGAGGGCCAGAGAAGTCCTGGTCCTGAGGGTAGCCTGACAGTCTCCCCAGGCCTGGCCCAAGGCCCCGCGGCAGGCCTACCCAGGGGCCCCACCTCCACCATCCTTCACCTCCCTACACACCCTGCCTCTCCCCTGGGCCTTGACCACTTCCCCAAGGCCCTGTCTCTCCTCCAAGCTCTACGCCTCCTCCAGGCTCTACCTCTCCTCCAGGCTCCACCCCCATCACGAGGCCCCGGCCTCTCCTTCAGGCTCCACCCACCTCCCCCAGGCCCTGCCTTTCCCACAGGTCCCACCCATCTCCTCCAGGCCCCACCTCTCCTCCAGGCTCCACCCCTCCTCCAGGCTCCACCCCCTCCCCAGGCTCCACCTCTTCACCAGGCTCCACCCCTCTCACGAGGCCCCCGCCTCTCCTCCAGGCTCCACCCCTCTCCACTGGCCTGACCTCTCCTCCAGGCTCCATCACTCTCCCTCAGGCCCCACCTTTCCCACAGGTCCCACCCATCTCCCCCAGACCCCACCTCTCCTCCAGGCTCCACCCCTCTCCCCAGGCTCTACCTCTCCACCAGGCTCCACCCCTCTCATGAGGCCCTTGCCTCTCCTCCAGGCTCCACCCATCTCCCCCAGGTCCCGCCTTTCCCACAGGTCCCACCCATCTCCTCCAGGCCCTATCTTTCCTCCAGGCTCCACCCATTTTCCCCAGGCCCCGCCTCTCCCCCAGGCCCCACCTTTCCCCGTTGCCTCTCCTCCGGACTCTACCCCTCCCCGGGTCCCCTTCCTTCCCCAGGCCCCACCTCTCCCCGAGCTCCTTGTGCTCCAACTCCAGGTTCCGATGCAGCGTCTTCAGGCAGCTGTGCTGGCGGATGAGGGCCTCGTACTCGGCCGATTGCCGCTCGTGCAGCGTTCCCAGGTGCTCGTGGTCCTGCAGCAGGGCCTCGTAGGCCGCTGTAAGCTGCTCCTGCTGCCTCTGCAGGCTCTCGTTCTCCGTCTCCTTGGCCGTGTGGTGGTTCTGAAGCAGCGCGTACTGCGCGGTGAGCGCGGCACTCTGGGAGCTCAGTGTGGAGTTCTCCACCTGCCGAGAGGGAGAAGCGCGGCGTGGCGCAGGCCCCACAGTCAGCGAGGAGGGCTGGGGAGGTCAAGTGCTCGAGCAGACACGAAAATAGCTGGGACCTTCAGGACAGAAGACCCAGAGGGTACCCAGGACGGCTGTTCCAGAACTTAAGGAACTGCTGTGGGAAGGGGACTAAACCACATAGACGGGCACTCAGAGGCTGCTTCAGTCCTGAGCCACTCGCCACAAATGCGAGCTGCTGGGGCAGATGATGTCCTTTTCCTAGATAACTCCTTTGGGTGCTGTGCCCTCTTTGATAATTTTTTAAAAACCTCTTTTCAGCTGGCTGTGGTGGCTCAGGCCTGTAATCCCAGGACTTTGGGAAGCAGAAGCAGGAGCATCACTTGAGCCAAAGAATTCAAGACCAGCCTGAGCAACATAGTGAGACCCCATCTCTACCCCCCTCCAAAAAAAAAAGGTATTTTTAACTTAGCTAGGCATGGTGTTGTATGCCTATAGTCCCAGCTGCTTGGGAGGCTGAGGCAGGAGGATTGCTTGAGCCCAGGAGTTGGAGGTTATAGTGAGCTATGATTGCAGCACTGCACTCCAGCCTGGGTGACAGAGTGAAACCCTGCCTCTTACAATGAAAACAAAACCTATTTTCTAGAACAAGCAGACAGAAAATCTGTACATAAGGATATAGAATACCTGAACAATACTATCAACCTACTTAACATAATTGATATTTGTATACCTCTGCATCCAACGACATCCAAAATCACCAGAAACTGAAGAGAAGGGAATATTTCCCAAATTATTTTATGAAGCCAGAATTACCCTGATATTAAAACCAGATTAAGACTGTAAGAAAAATCCAAAATAGTCAATATACTGTTTTCTTGTTAGCAGTACAAATTCCAATTTCTTTGCCAAACAGTTTCCTGTTGATTGTCCTTGCCCCATAAGTTACATATTTTCAAACTTTTCTCAGAAACTGCAATAAAAGGCCAGGTGTGGTGGCTCACACCTATAATCCCAGCACTTTGGGAGGCGAGGCGGGTGGATCATTTGAGGTCAGGAGTTCGAGACCAGCCTGGCTAACTTAATGAAATCCCATCTCTACTAAAAATACAAAAATTAGCCAAGGCACAAGAATCACTTGAACCCGGGAGGCAGAGGCCGCAGTGAGTCAAGATCGCACCACTGTACTCCAGCTTGGGTGACAGAGTGAGACTCCCATCTCAAAAACAAACAAATAAAACCTGCAATAAATAAATAATTTTCCACAGTCTACAAGCAATAAATGAAAACAAGCATCTGAAGTGGCACACAATCCTAGTTCTACTTGATGCTCTCAACAGTCTGGGAGCCTCTTCATATCCTACACTTCCCTCTTAGAGATTAAAAATTTACATTAGCTTAAAAAGAAAGAGTTCTGCCAGGTTCTACAGTAAAGAAACCTGGTTAACTTTGTTAAACCAAGCTTAATCCTGAAACCTCTTGTCCAAGTCAGTCCTAATAACACCTCAAGGAAAAGACTGGAAAACATGGACAAGAATGCAAGTAAAAGGAGAGAAATAAAACTTTTGCCCATGCAGCCATTTTCTCAATCAGTGAAAATGGCTTAAAAACTATCACCCCCTTCACTGATCACTGTTTGCAGCGGGTCTATTAACAAAACCCCAAACTGCTCTGTGCTTTGATCTGCTGCTTCTTTTGAGGAGTCCTAATGCCCCCAGTTGGTCCCCAGGAGCCACAGATAAACATCCCGCGGGGCTTGTGACCACTGGCGCTGGGAGCCCCATTCACCTGCAGCTTGGCGGTCTGTGTCTGCAGTGTGGTGTTGTGCTCCTGCAGGAAGGCGCTCTGTTTCTGCAGTGTCAAGATCTGGCTGCTGAAGGTCACATTCTGGGTCTCCAGGTGCTGCAGCTGTTCCTTGAGCAGCTGCTTCTCAGCCTGCAGAGCTGCGTTCTAGAAGATCGGGAAGCATGAGCCAATCAAACTCCAACTGGGTAAATGCTAACTGGCCACAGGTACTTGGGTTGTAACGAACTCTCAAAAGTTGAGGTTTTGGGAGCCAAAGCGAGGGTCTGCTGGATGAGGGCAGTATATTTTCTCTCTTTGAAAAAGAAAATCAGCAGGATTTTTTTTTTTCTAAAGGCTACATATCATGGGGACACTGCCTGAGACCCAGGTATGTAAGTGGGAGGTGAGTGCATGCTGGAGTTAAAGCCACTTCCTTTGTCTCTTTAATGCTTTCCTTTGTTTTCTGTTGAAACCTTAAGAGTGCATTTCTGTCTCCCATTGACTCCAACCCTGAGTATCTCACAGGACAGAGAGTCAAAGCCTTAGGCTACAGCCTTACTCAGAGGTGACAGCAAGCAGAATAAGGTGCTTCACGTTACATGAGATTAATAAAGACCATGTTAAAGTTTGCCACCAACTGGGCTAAAGGCCAGGACCCCGTAGTCTTTTACTCTCCCTTATTAGCATGGGGCTTTGGATCAAGTCTCTTAAATTCTGTTTCAGCTTTATCATTGATCAAATAATGAAAATCACCACTCTGAACTTCATCAAGTCATTGCTGAGAATCAAAGTCAGAGGTACGGACATGCATTAGCAGACTTTTTCCAGCAAGGGCCAGATAGGAAATACTTTTGGGTTTGCCAGCCATGGGGTTTCCATCTCAACCTAAAGAATCACTGTCACTGTAGGGGAAGCAGCCCCAGACAACCTGTAAACAATGGGCATGACTGTCTGCTAATAAAACTTTATTTACAAAAGCGGGTGGGGGGTGGAGTTTGCCAATCCCTGGTACTGGGCACTGAAAGACATAACACCCCAGGAAGAGGCTGAATTGCCATGAAGACTGTGTGTGCCCCTGATGTGAGAATCACTGAAGGGACCTCGAATGAAGAGGAGCCTTCGGGACCTGCAACTCAAGACGTGTCCAACTAGATCGGGCTAAATCTCCTGTGTTCTTTACAGCAATGACAAGTCATCAGTGGGACTACTGATAGGGCAGTCTCTCTCTCTCTCTCCCCCCGATGGACCATGCCCAGGCCAGCCCACTCACATTCCGCTCCAGCTCGATGGCCCGGTCCTTCACTCGGAGAAGCTCCATGGTGGCTTCCTTGTGGCCGGGCCCCCAGGCCTCCTTCCCCTGGTGACTGGCGGCTGTCTTCCCCGCAGGGTGCTTGAAAGAGTTCTGCAAGTGCTGCCCCTCTCCCTCGTTCTGCCTGAGGGTCTCACACTCCTTCTTCAGCTACAGGCGGGCGTGACAATGAGCAAGGAGGCTTTAGGCAGAAGCAGCTTGGCCTGGAGCCCCGAGTGAGTGGCTGAGGGCAGCCGCACCACACCCTCTGCACTCCCCACACTCGCCCGCCCTGGTGCGTGTAAGCGAGACGCGCTCCTTTTCTTTTGAGGGGAAGGCACCAACCCTCTGCCCTACACTTTCCCTTCCCTTCCACAGAGGACAGGGAGGTGGGGGCCTGCGACCCGTTCCTGCCTCAGTCCCTGCTTTAGCCACATGGCTTCCTGCTTTCCTGAGCCTCAGTTGTCAACTCCTTCAAACAGAGGTGAGGCTGGGATACAGGACGTGAACAGGGACGAGGTCTCAAAGCCCCTGCCAGCGCTGCAGCGGCTTCATCCAGATTCCTATTCAATCCTGCAGCCAAGAAGCATGGCACGTGTTCAAAACTGAGGCTGGAAGAGCACGTGTGTGGAAGGGGGGAGTGTGCACACCTGATGACCTGTGAGAGTGTGCACGTGGAGAGCACGTGTTGGGTGTGTACACCTGTGTGTGAGGAGCATGTGTCTCTGTGTGGAGTGTGCACATGTGGCGGGCACATGTATAATACATGTGTAGAGAGCATGCATATGTGTAAGGAGCATGTGCATTATGTGTGTATGGAGAACATGTGCATATGTATGTGGAGAGTGGAGTATCTGTGGAGAACACACATCTATATGCATGTGGAAAGTGTGTTCCCACGTGACAAATATGCGTGCACGCATGCACCCAGAAGTAGACATGTGCATGTCCTCACGGGTCCCTGTGCACCCGTCTGTCTCATCAGAAGGCTCCTGTGAGACTCTGCAGGCCGTTGCTCAGTGCCCGACGTGCAGTTTCACAGAGGGCTCTCATGGGTGTTCCCATATCTTGCCTGGTGGACTTGGTGCTGCTCTAGGCCACTGCCCGCCTCCCTGCAGGCCTGTGACTCTTACTCTGGTTCTGTTTGGCCCCAGTGTGTGTGATTCTGAGGGTGGCTCCCTCAGTCACCCTGCGGCGCATCCACACCTGCCCTAGAAAACGGGTATCCGGGTCACCCCTCTGCTATACAGGTGAGGGGCTGGAAAGGGTGAGGCCAAGAATGGGCAGCTGGGCTGCACAGTGAAACCTCCATGCTCACCATCTGCAGCTCGCTCTCTAACTGGCGATTTAGGCTCGCTTTCTCTTCCATCTGTGCTTCCAAAAGCACAATCTTTTCTTCTTTCATGGCTAGTGTTGTTTTTAATGCTGATTCATTTCTGCCCTCCAAAATCTTGTATTTTCTGGAAAACACAAAGATATAATAGTATCGCTTATCTACTTCTCCACAAGTTCCCAGTGTCCTCGCTGTCAACACATCATTCCTTCCACTAGGCTGGGTTATGGAGCTGCAGCTTTTGGTCCAGAAGAACTCATGAGCCAAAACTCATCTTCCCAGAGCCCTTTGGGGGTTCCCTGGGTAGAAACACCTGTGACACCTTCAAAGGCAACACCACAGCTACAGTTTTACGGTCACTGTCTGAGGCAGGAATTATTGCCATTTTACCCAAGGGGAAACTGAATCTCAGAAAGGTTAAGCAATTTGCCCAAGGTCACAGTGCTAGGTTAAGTGGTAAGTCTGAGGCCTTTCCACCAGAGAGGACTCCTACTATAAGACATGTGGATCTTCTAGGTTACAAGTCCAGGAAAAGACCAAGACCTTGGATTTCCTTAAAAAACAAGATCAGGACGAGCACAGTGGCTCATGCTTGTAATCCTAGCACTTTGGGAGGCCGAGGTGGGAGGATCACTTGAGGTCAGGAGTTGGAGACCAGTCTGGCCAACATGGTGACACCCCGTTCTACTAAAAAAATACAAAAATTAGCTGGGCATGGTAGTGCATGTCTGTGATCTCAGTTACTCAGGAGGCTGAGGCACGAGAATCACTTGAAACCAGGAGGCGGAAGTTGCACTGAGCCGGGATCACATCACTGCACTCCTGCCTGGGTGACAGAGTGACACTTTGTCTCAAAACAACAACGATAACAAAAAAAAAACCCCAAGATCATTTAAGCAAGCATTGCAGGGAAAAACTCTAATAGTCTACTTTTTAAAAAACATTAAGAAGCGTGGCTGGGAGCAGTGGCTCACACCTGTAATCCCACCATTTTGGGAGGCTGAGGTGGCCAGATTGCTTTGAGCTCAGGAGTTCGAGACCAGCCTGGCCAAAATGGCAAAACCCCCTCTCTACGAAAAATACAAAGATTAGCCAGGTGTGGTGGTGCACGCCGGTGGTCCCAGCTGGGTTCTCCAGCTGGGGCTGGAGGATCGCTTGAACCTGGGAGGTGGACATGGAGGTAAGCCGAGGTCATAACGCTACACTCCTACCTGGGTGACAGAGTCAGACCCTGTCTCAAAAAAAAAAAAAATTAATAAGCTTTTTCATCAAACAAAATCTCCTTCCACACCTATCTGAGGACCTCAAGGAACAAGAGCTGGAACAGAAACGACCAAGGAACTTTGGGCTCAAGGAACTGCGTGAGATCAGAGCCCTCGGCAGTAGAGAGTTCGTGGCGGTCTCAGGGGAGGGTGAGGAGCCTGCAGACTGAACAGCGGAGGAAGTGCTCCCACGATGGGGAGAGGGAGAGGAGGCCCTCACGTGTCACTGCCGCTGTCGTCCTCCTGCAGCAGCAGCTCCCTGTTGAGGCCGACCTTCTCCAGTTCCTGGCTCAGCTTGTCCAGCTCACTGCTGAGCTGCTGGCTCTTCAGCTTCTCCAGCACCAGGTCCTGCAATGATGGGGAGAGAGCACGGGACAGGAGCTCAGCAAAACATGCAGGGAGGCCAGGTGCCAGCCCCGCCCGGTGTGAGCAACTGTCCTCCCAGACCACGGCTGTCTCCGTGTGGAGCGAGGGGACTCTGAACCCCAGGGATGTTCTTCCCGAGAAAAGCCAATGAATGCACTTGTCCAACCCTCCTGGTGCTGAAAACAACCAGACCAGGTGGCAATATGTCAAGGATGGATCCAATATGCCACTTCTCTAAGTCATGTATTTGAAACGCCACTTATGTTGACCTTTAAGTAGTACGTTTGATATCTGGTAATACAGCTGCCTTTTCAACAGAGAAACAAGTAATTAAATGCCCCTTGTAGACACTTTGAAACATAAAATGTGTGAAGAGGGGAAATATTTTATTTTAAACCCTGGATGTGGTTTACTTTTCATTTTTTAGAGACAGCATCTTGCTCTGTTGCCTAGGCTGGAGTGCAGCCGTGTGATCACCGCTCACTGCAGCCTTGAACTCCTGGCTCAAGCGATCCTCCCACCTCAGCCTCCTCAGTAGCTGGAATTACAGGAGTGCACCACCACACCTGGCTAATTTTTACATTTTTTGCAGAGATAGGGTTTTGCTATATTTCCAGGTTGGTCTTGAATTCCTGGCCTCAAGCAATCTTTCTACCTTGGTCTTCCAAAGTGCTGGGATTACAGGCGTGAGCCACTGCACCCGGGCTTGGTCTACTTTTCAAAACGTGGGTGTTGAATGCACGTCAGTGGTTCACTTCCTCCACCCCAGTTTATGTCAGCACCTCTTTGTAGCTCTCTCGGTAGTGACCATTTTCTGCCCGGTGTCACAGTCATTCACATGCATGCTTAACCCTCCTACCAAATCCTCAAACCTGAAGGGCAGTGTGACAGAGATAGTGATGCTTACCACCTGCTCCCCCAAATTTCCCAGCCACCCTGTATCAGCTGAAGCCAGGTCACCAGCTCCGGCAAAGGGGCTGTAGGTGGAAGTGACGTGGGTCACTTCCTGGCTGGAGCACAGAAGAGCCTATGTGTGACCTTCAGCTGCCCTTTGGCCTGCCAGGGCAACCGCCCAAGCCTGGTGTTGAGACGGCAGAACCATGAGATCAAAACAGCCTGGACTGCTGGGTCAAGCAGGACAGACTCCCTGGAGGCTCCCCTGGACTCTGGTGAGCAAGAGGTAAGCCTTGGCTGTGATGAGCTGCAGAGATGCTGGGGTTGGCTACTGTAGCACAGCCTAAACCTACGCTAACCAGCTGGGGCTCTGTCTGCATTCATATTTTGGATCTCTCCCCCACAGCACACGGAATTGCCTACACGGATGGTCAGTCATCTTTTTCCATTGTGGAGACTGCTCAGTGTTCACCAAACCGATTTCCTTCTCTTGTGTGGCATGTGGTACCCTGTGGTTGGGTGTGGCTGTGCTGCTGAGCCCGCCCATGCAGCGTGATCTTCCTCACTCTCTCTCTTCCTCCTCTACCCACCACATGCCGAGGAACTAGAGGAGGACTCCACTGGGGGTGCCCAAGTCTCAAGATGGCAGAAGCCAGGTGCCTGAACTGGGCCTTAAGTGCAGTGCTCCAGTGCCTGGCTTCTCCGCCCCCCCACGTTAGACCCTACATGAGTGAGACTAAACAGGGCTGGGCCACTCAGCTGCTGAAGCCATTTCCCAGAGCAGCCATCTACTCACCCCAGCATACTAAACAAATGCCCAGATGGCCCACACAACACTTACCAGGGTAAGGACAATATGGAATTCTGGAGGATTTTTATATCCCTCAAGAGACTAACACGTTCACACCCTTTGACCCTGCAATTCAATTTCTGAGAATATACCCTAAAAAATAGTTTGATTCATGAAGGTCTATGTGTACAAGGATGTCTAGTATTATTTAAAATAGTGGAAAATAGGATTCTAGGGAAAAAGGTAGTAAAATTCTAAAAACAAATTAAAAAAATACTTCAGGAAAGGATTCTAGGAAAAAAAGTAATAAAATTTAAAAGTAAATAAAAATAAAATAGTGGAAAACACTAAAACAATCTAAACGTCTAAAAAATAATTACAGTAAACGTATAGGATTAAATATCTTGGCCGAGTGCAGTGGCCCACGCCTATAATCCCAGCACTTTGGGAGGCTGAGGCGGATGGATCCCCTGAGGTCAAGAGTTCAAGACTAGCCTGGCCAAGATTGGCAAAACCCCGTCTCTACTGAAAATACAAAAATTAGCTAGGTGTGGTGGTGCATGTCTGTAATCCCAGTCTCAGGAGGTTGAGGCAGGAGAATCGCTTGAACCCAGGAGGTGGAGGCTGCAGTGAGCTGAGATCGCACCACTGCACTCCAGCCTGGGCGACAAAGCGAGACTCTGTCTCAAAAATAAGTAAGGGTCGCATGCAGTGGCTCACGTCTGTAATCCCAGCACTTGGGGAGGCCAAGATGGTGGATCACCCGAGGTCAGACGTTCGAGACCAGCCTGGCCAACATGGTGAAAACCTGTCTCTACTAAAAATACAAAAAGATTAGCCGGATGTGGTAGCATGTATCTGTACTCCCAGCTACGTGGGATGCTGAGGCACAAGAATCACTTGAATCCGGGAGACAGAGGTTGCAGTGAGCCGAGATTGCGCTGCAACACTCTAGCCTGGGCGACAGAGTGAGACTCTGTCTCAATAAAAAAAAATAATAATAAATAAATAAAACAAAATAAATAAATAAATATCTTACAGCCATTGGGAAATTGTGGCTTTGAAATCTAAAATAATAACAAAACCCACAACATAATAAATAAAAACCGTAACAGCTCACCTGTGTGTAAGTATGACATCAAGGCCGGGTGCGGTGGCTGAAGCCTGTAATCCCAGCACTTTGGGAGGCCGAGACGGGCGGATCACGAGGTCAGGGGATCGAGACTATCCTGGCTAACACAGCGAAACCCCGTCTCTACTAAAAAATACAAAAAACTAGCCGGGTGAGGTGGCGGGCGCCTGTAGTCCCAGCTACTCGGGAGGCTGAGGCAGGAGAATGGCGTGAACCCGGGAGGCAGAGGTTGCAGTGAGCTGAGATCTGGCCACTGCACTCCAGCCTGGGCCACAGAGCGAGACTCCGTCTCCAAAAAAAAATAAGAAGAAAAAAAAAAAAAGTATGACATCAAGCATGTGTCTGTATACGCGAGGGAAAATGATGACATGAAACAACCCAAACTATGAGGAACGAACCTCTGGGTCATAAGATTGTAATATGTGGTATTTATTGGGTTCTTAGACCTTTAGGGACTGCTGTTTAGAATTAGATAAAGCATTTAAGGAGGACACAGAACATCTCTCCTGAAATCATGCACCACAGAACCCACCACCACGACCACCACCTGCCAACCCCTTTACAGGGGCCGCCTGCGTCCACTTACCTCCCTCAGAGTCGTCAGCGTCCTCGCATGCACGGTGACTTGCTTGGTGAGGTCCCGGTTGTCCTTCTCCAGCTCCTTCAGCTTGCCGGCCGCGTCCCTGCAGCGGGCCAGCTCCTTGTCCAGCGCACGGCTCTCCTTCTCGACTGCAGACAGTTTGGCAGTGCTATCGTCCAAGACTGCGTCCTTGAGCTCCACCTGCTGCCACAGCCGCTTGGCCTCCTTCTCCAGCAGCTTCTTATCCTTCTCAAGCTGGGCCACCTCCTGCTCCAGGGCCTTCCTGTCCTTCTCAGCTCCCTCCAGCTGTGCATTGGCCAGCCGGAGGGCCTCCAGGTCCCGCCGCAGTGCCTGGCGCTCGGCCTCCAGCTCGCCCAACTCACTCTCCAGGGTCTGCGTCTTGCGGCTGCTGCTCTCCAGGCTCTGCTGCAGCCGGAGGTTCTCGGCGCTCACGCTCTGGTAGCTGAGCTCCAGGCGCTCTGACTTCTTGCCCAGCGCCTTGAGCAGCTCCACGTTCTTCCTCAGCTCCTCCTTCTCACGCTCCAGCTGCTGGTTCTCCCTCTCCATCTGTGCCAGCTTGGTACTGGCGAAGCGCATGGTCTCCACTAGCCTGCGCAGCTCTAGGTTCTCTGCGTCCAGCTGCTTATTGTCACGCTCCAGGCCCTCAAGTTGCAGGGACACGTTCTGCAATGTGTCCAGAGACTTCCTCAGCGTCCGGTTCTCCAGCTGCAGGCCCTGGCTCTCATGCTCCAGGGCCTCGACTTTCTCAGCGGCCGTCTCCAGGGAGGTCACCTTCCTGGCCAGCCTCCCATTCTCCTCCTGGAGTCGCTGCAGCTCCCTCTCCAGCTTCTCCGCCCGCTCTCCCTTCTCCTTGGCCTGCTCCAAGTCCCTGTGCAGCTGCCGCTTCTCAAACTCCAAGTGGCTGAGCTTGCCATTGGCCTCTGTCACTGACTGGTGGAGGGCTTTGTTCTCCTTCTCCACGTCTTTCATGCGGGCCTCGCTGCTGACCTGCGACCTTTCCCGCAGCGACCACACGGCTCGGTTGAGGTGGTCCTTTTCCTGCTCAAGGTCCTTGATCTGTGGGAAAACACAACAGGCGCAACCCAGGCTGCTGCGGGAACCTATTTCAGTGACATGGACTCACACTGGGGGATGGGAGACAGAAGGTCTTGAACGGCTGTCCTACCTGTGCTCAGACGCCTGTGTGTTCCCCAGAGGCCTGACAGACACAGGTGAGTGGGCACAGACACCACCACTTAGATGATTCAAGTCAGAATACACTCAGAGCAGCCAGGATGATTTTTAAAATGTAAATTACATCTCTCTTCCTCACTTAAGTTTCAGTGGTTTCTCTTGGTCTCTGGTGGCCAGGCCCTGCCCACCGCTGCAGCCTCTGCTTATACCACTCTCCACCTCCTGCTCACTACTCCTAGCCCGTCTGACCACGAACACTTTGCACATGCTGATCCCTCTGCCTGGAGTACTTTCCTCTGACTATCAGCCTTACTGGTTCCTTCTCATACTGGGGATCAGCTCCCCAAAACATCCTGGCATGATGATTCTAAGGTGGCCATGCACCCCAATATTCTCTCCCTCAGCACCCTATTCTCTCAGTAGCACCCTCCTGAAATCATCTTGCCTGTCACCTGGAATTGTGCCTTCCTGGCTGTGAGCAACATCTGGGCAGGGCCCTGTCCGTCTGTTTAGCCATTCCAACCATCTTCTCTGGGCTTTTTATTCCTCTACTACAGATGCCAAAAAGCTAAAATACTTGGGGCCGGGAATGGTGGCTCATGCCTGTAACCCCAACACCTTGGGAAGCTAAGACAGGAGGATTACTTGAGCCCAGGAGTTTGAGACCAGCCTGTACAATATAACAAGACCCCATCACTATTAAACAAAACAAAACATAAAACCAAAATACTTGATACCCTGGCATTCTTTGCAGGCAGAGGTAGTCACATGTCAGCTCCGGCCAACATGATGTCTACGGAGCGTCTTTGGGAGGGTTTCCCTGTGCCGCTAAGCCCTCCACCTTTCTCTGCTTGTACCTTAGGGATGTGCAGCAGCCACTGTTAAGGCTGGCAGAGCTGTAGGCAAGAGGCCTTGTTCCTGATGGCATCCCTGAGCCACTACATCAGCCCTGGACTGCCTGCCCTAGGGCTGCTTGTAGTGTGAGGCAAATAAAACCACACGGGTTTGCCAGGATTCTCAGCTGGGGCACCACGAACATTTGCAGATGGAGTGTTCCTTGCCCTGCACGCTAAAGAATGTGTAGCAGCAGCATCCCTGGCCTCTACCCACTCTACCCCAGGAGCACCACCCCCTCTCTTCCCCTGGGTCACGACAATCAAAAATGTCTTGAGACATTGCCAAATGTCCCTTGGGAAGCAAACTTCACCCCACCTTTTCCCACTGCCAGCTGGGAAATTGAGAATTGATGATTTAAGCTGCGGCTAAGCTAGGTAACAGATAATCCATGCATCCACAATACAGTACCAGGAATGGCGGTAATCCTGGCTCTCCATCTTGCAGACAGCGATTCTGGGAGAGGCACCTACCTGCCTGGCTTTGTCAGCCTTCAGGGTCTCCATGTCACTCTGCAGCTGCTCCTTCTCTCTGATCAGCTCCTCACTGAGGGTCTCCAGATCTTGGTTGCTCTGCTTTTCTCTCTCCAGCTGGGTCTGTAACTTTTCAATCTGCAGAACCAAAAGACCCAGCCCAGTGTAGACATCAGTCCTACAAAGTGAACCACGATTTAAAACAAAACGGAAACCTCTCACTCCCACAAAATGCACTAATGGGTGTTTTCTCAAGGGAAGACCTCCTGGCATCATTCTGTAGCAGCCTCCCCACACCACAGCTGTTACTCTTAAGACAGTAAGGTCACCAGGCAGCAACCCATCCCCATCTCCCCAGTATCCCTCCGCCCTATCCTTGCTGCCATGTGCTCCACTGCCTGGGGCCACCACCGCTGGATGCCCTCGGGGCTCCACATACACCCATCTCCCTGTCCTCCCAGAGACTCTCTGCCTTGGCTGGTGATGTCACCTGGCTGCTCAAGTAGCCCTCTGTTATACCTCTTCCTCTTTCACCTCCATGTAAATTTGTCACCAAGCCCTGTCCTTCCTACCTCTTCCACACTTCCACCATCTCCATCACAGGCCAGGCCACATTTTGTCATTCTGTCTGGCCTGGACAGCCACCCAGTGATCTCCCTGACATCAAGCTCTTATGCCAGAACCCACCTGTGCCCAGCCCTCCTAAACACGAACTACTGAAACAGAGGTCCTCATGCTCCTCGTTGCACATGAGCACGCAGATGACTTACTGAAATGCAGATTCTGACTCAACCCTTGCTATTTTTTTTTTTTTTTTGAGACAGAGTTTTGCCCAGGCTGGAGTACAATGGCATGATCTCGGCTCACTGCAACCTCTGCCTCCCAGATTCAAGCAATTTGCCTGCCTCAGCCTCCTGAGTAACTAGGACTTCAGGAGCCCGCCACCACGCCCAGCTAATTTTTATATTTTTAGTAGAGACGGGGTTTCACCGTATTGGCCAGGCTGGTCTCAAACTCCTGACTTCAGGTGATCCGCCCACCTCGGCCTTCCAAAGTGCTGGGGTTACAGGTGTGAGCCACCACGCCTGGCCAACCCTTGCATTTGATTGCTGTTGCTTCTGGTCTAAAGGTGTGATTTCCTGGGTCCTACTACCCCTGCTGGACCCCTCATCTTTCTCATTCTGTGGTTCTTTGTCCTATACTCCGGGTCCATCCCCGAAGAATGCCCAAGCCCCTGACGAACTTGCTGGGCTGAGACACGGGCTGGCTGCAGGCCTTCGGGCCTCCAGAGGGTTTCCTGTCCTCCCTGCAGCCCCTGGCTTGGGCGACAGTCTAGTGTTTTCTCAGGAATTGTGGGTGCCAGGACCCTGCCCCTCAGCTCCCAGGCTGCATGTCTTTACATGAGCTGCTCCTGCCTCTCGTGACAGGTCCCCAAAGGGCTGCCCCTCTTTCTCTAAAAATAAGGATTCTTTTTCCTTCTTGAGTCAAAGAATAAACTCTTACGACTTCGATACAAAGTTACAGACAGAGAGGAAGGAGGGAGCTTCTCTAGGACCCATGGAGGTACCCTGAGTTAGAAGGAAAGATGTTTTAACTTCAGGGAACTATGGTTTCCAGAGGTCCCAGACCAAAGCAAGCGTGCAGCCTGGGCTACACTCGGGGTGAGGTGGAGAGCCAGGTAGGCGCTAGGGCCCCCTGTGGGACTCAGCAGGGCCAAAGGGCTTGCTTACTGATTAGGAAATGCCAGCTGGATGGCGAGGTTGGAGAGGGAAATTGAGGATGAGCTGAGCTGGCTGAGGGTTGCCAGGCCTGAAGCACAGCCCGCCTCCTGCTGGTGCTGTAAGGTTTCACCTGTCAAACGCCAGAGGGCTCCCCTTACGTGTCAGGCTTTGGGCTGGGCACTGGGGCCAATAAAACCGTGAGTGAGACGTGGACAGAGGGTGAAGGGAGAACCACCCTGCAGGGTTGGGCCAGATTCCAGCCAGGCTCAGGGCAGGTCGAGGACAAGAGGGAGGAAAGAGCTCCAGGCTTCAGACACAGGACAGCTCTGCCTGCGAATGGTGGCCCCTCCCTTCCGGTGCCCCCGCGACCAGGGAGTGTGTGCCAAGACAGGGCCTCCCTAGGCCCATGGCAGGAGAGGCTGGCATCAGGCCAGGGAGGAAGTGGGTAGGGCCTGAGAGACCAGCATAAGGAGCTCCCGCCAGGTCCTGTTTGTACAGAGGAGGGGCCACAGCAGACAGGACAGGGCGGAGAGATGCCTGAGCACCACCTTGGTGACCTGCCAGGAGGGGACACAGAATGTCACTAGGCCAGTGAGATAATACTGCAGGGCAGCATCGTGAGGACCTGCAGAGCTGGAGGTTCTCATCTTCCTAAAGGCCAATTCTTTTTATCATGGCCAAGGTTGGGCTACCATTTATGAAGACATTTCCCGTGCTAGGCCCACATGAATCTAAGTAACCAAAACGCTGAGCCAGCCATGGTGGCTCACACCTGTGATGCTAGCACTTTGGGAGGCTGATGTGGAAGGACTGCTTGAGCCTAGGAGTTTGAGACCAGCCTGGGCAACATAAAGAGACCCCAGTTCCAAAAAAAAATTAGCTGGGCATGGTGGTATGTGCCTGTGGTCCCAGCTACCCAGGAGGCTGATGTGGGAGGATTACTTGAGCTCTGGAGGTTGACGCTGCAGTGGGCCATGGTCACACCATCGCACTCCTGCCTAGATGACAGAGGGAGACCCTGTCTCAAAAAACCGAGTCACTTTCCCCATGCTGCCCTGCACTGGAAGACGTGGCATGAGACGAGGATGTTTTCTGTTGTCCTATAAAGAGAGGAAAAACCACCTGGCAGCTAAAATGCCGCAAGGCACACAAAGCTTCAAAGGGACAAGAGTGAGCAGCCACATAGGAGAGGTGCCATGAGGGAACTCAAGGGACCAGTTCCCAGAAGTGGGGGGCCTGTTCCCAGCCTCAGAGACCATGAACCTGCAGAGTGGCTGGGCGTGGTGGCTCACACTGGGAGGCCGAGGCGGCTGGACCACCTGAGGTCAGGAGACCAGCCTGGCCAACATGGCAAAACCCCATCTCCACTAAAAACACAAAAATTAGTTGGGCATGGTGGCACCTGCCTGTAATCCCAGCTACTCGGGAGGCCGAGACAGGAGAATCGCTTGAACCCAGGAGGTGGAGATAGCAAGGAAGCTGAGATTGCACCACTGCACTCCAGCCTGGGCAACAGAGCAAGACTCCGTCAAAAAAAAAAAAAAAAAAAACCTGCAGAGCCAGGGGACTCAGATCTCCTGCCACAGTGACGCCTCAGTAGATGATACTGCCAGGACTCACAGTGGGTTGGGAGACACCCGGATGTGCCTGTCCTGCATGGCAGTCAGCCCGCAAGAACACTCCGGCCTCCTCCCGCGGCTGGAATCTGACAGCTGGTGCGTTCAGAGCCCACACTACACCTCCAGTGTGAGGCTGGTGGATGAGAGGTTCTCTCACCGGGAACAAGCAAGACCTGTCAGCAATGCCTAGTCTCTCAATGGCCCCTTCCTGCACCTGAGGTGGAATCTGCCACGTGACAGGGATCCTCTTAACTGTAGAACAAGACTGGCTTGCAAACCCTCATCTGTTCGCCCAGATGTCTGGCGTCTACTGTGATCCCAGGAACACCTAACAGCTGTCATTAAAAGAGAACACAGTTCAGCTATCTCTTCCTCCCCATCCCATAAACCCAGAGGAGGGAGAAAGCACTGACCTGCTTGTTTTACCACTAGCAAGACCCTGAGGTGTTCCATCAGTGGCCTCACACATTCATACCTAGGCTTTGCAGCCCCAAGGATGTTCATTATCACTGTAGTCAACAACTCAACATCCGGTATTTGGTACCTTACTGCGTCGTCTCCCTGGGTCCCTATTGCAAGGTTTATAACAGTGCACGACTCTCTTTTTACTGAGCACTTACTATGTGCCGAATCCATCACACACACACTACCTCCTCTAATCCCCACAACACCCAGCATAAGAAATGTGTGTTTGGGGCCAGGCACAGTGGCTCACGCCTGTAATCCCAGCACTTTGGGAGGCCGACGTAGCTGGGTCACCTGAGGTCAGGAGTTTGAGACCACCCTGGACAACATGGCAAAACCCCGTCTCTACTAAAAATACAAAATTAGCTGGGCGTGGTGGTGGGTGCCTGTAATCCCAGCTACTCGGGAGGCTGAGGCAGAAGAATCGCCTGAGCCTGGGAAGCGGAGTTGCAGTGAGCCGAGATTATGCCATTGCACTCCGGCCTGGGAAACAAGAACAAAACTCAGCCTCAAAAAAAAAAAAAAAAAAAAAAAGGAAGAAAGAAAGAAACGTGTGTTTGGTTGTTGCTAAATTTCCTGGCACAAGTTTCGAAAATCCTTGGAATCTCCAAAGGGTAGGTGTCTTTCTTGTATGCTAAGATAAATGAGGACTGGGGGCTCCTGGAGAGCCCCAGGATGGGGGCTGGTTGCCAAGGGAACCAACCACGTTATTAGAGTTGAAACTTTCAGGTCTCCCCTACCTCCAGGGAGGAGAGAGAGGCTGGAGGTTCAACTAATCAAATGGCAAATGATGTAATCAACCATGCCTATCTAATGAAACCTCCATAAAAACCCAAAAGGACTAAGTCAAAAAGTGTCCAGGCTGGTGAACATGTGGAGGTGCTGGAGGGGCACCTGCAGAGGGCAGGGTAGGGTCGCACCACTCCCCGCAGCCACCGCCCTGTGTCTCTGTTCCGCCTGTGCGCTGTATACTTCTTAATAAACAAGGACTACTAAGCCATCTAGGCAATAGTGGAGCCCTCGAAGGGGGCGGTGGGAACCTCTGATCTACAGCCAGCCGGTCAGAAGCACAGGTGACAGTCCCGACTTGGATTGGCACCTGAAGTGGGAGGCAGGCTGGGGGGACTGAGCCCTTAGGCTGCGGGGTCTGTAGTGTCAGAATTGAGTCAAACTGTAGGATACCCAGCTGCTGTCCCCCGAGAACTTGGGAACTGCTTGGTGTGGGGAAAACCCCACACCCCTGGTATAGGCAGTGAGGTACTGGGAGCAGTGGCACAGAAGAGAACAAGGGAGTTTTCTTTTCACAGGCACGCACCCCATCAAACCCATTTCACAGATGAAGACAACGAGGCACAAGAAAGTCACATGTCCAGGTCATCCTCTAATGGCAGCGGAGCAGGGACAGGGCCACACTCTCTCTGGCTCTCCCCAGTCCTCACTCCCGTTCCCATTATAATCAGTGGTGACTATGCCAGGGTTCTGCCCACTCCCTGACACCTGCATGCTCTACCCGGCCGCCTCCGTGTCTGTGTGTGTGCTCCAGACAAGCACTGGGGAGGGTGGCAGGGTGCCCGAGGGCTCTGTGCCTCCCCGCTGACCTAAGGAGGCTGAGGTACCTTCTTGCTGAGCTGGTGGTTTTCCTTCTCCAGCTCCCCGCACTTGAGGCCGCTCTCCTCCAGCACCAGGGACGCATCCCGCAGCCCCTGGATGGTGCTCTGGAGGCTCTGGTTCTCCTTCTCCAGCTTCAGGATGCGGCTGGACGCACATTCGTTCAGCTCAAACACAAACGACTTCCTGGAGGCTGAAGACAAAGTCCAGTCAGAGCCCAGTGTTCTGTGGGCCTCCACTTCCACTCTCTGCCCCAAGCTCTGAGATGGTCATCAGTCCCAGAGTCCAGGGTCTAAGGGGCCGGGGAGGAGCTCCCACAGGTCAGCCAGGGACCCTCCCTCCGGCCCCTCCACTCCCAGTGCCCGAGGGTTCCTCTTTAGGCTTTGCTGGGGTCTGTCAGGGCAGCAATCCAGGGCTCAAGAAGGTGGAAGGTCCAGGAGCCACTGCAAGGGCTGTGTCACTTATGGGAAACATTTGGCTATCAGGCTGCTACCTAACTGTCCAATCAAGGATTTTAGAGGCTAACAGAGGTGGTACATAGGCGATGTATTCCATGCCCCCAAGAGCATAGTGGACACTTCCGCTGCTCAGCAGACAGGAACACATAACTGACCACTCCCATCGGCCACGGGTGGTAGAAAGCTACACTGGAACACGTGCCGGGCACTTGTCAGCCTGGATGAGATGCTATGCAGAGATTTCTTTCTGTGACTTCACAATTATGTTGAAGAAAACTGTGATAGTGTATGCAAATTGCTTTCAAAATTCTAAGTGAGATGAAAAATAAGCTAAAAATAGTAAAAGGCAGACTATCTACTCTGCTTTTAAACAGCTCAGATGCAAATGGAGAAGGGAACAGTCTCGAGTCAGGAATGGGAGTTCCTGGCCCTTCCTGCTACAAGCAGGTGAACGATTTTAGGTAAGTCATGGGGCTGTTTCGGGAAGGGAAAAAAGGGGTATGCAAAAGCCCTCTTAAGAAGGGAGCCAGGTTCTTCCACCCCTCATTTACCCAACTGAGTGCCACGTCCTTTCCACACTGTTGCTAATACAGCTATTCCTCCCCCTACCTCTTCACCCCAGGGGCTGTGGGTACAGGGGGGTGATGGCTTTCACAGCAAACACATAAATCTGGAAATGTGTGTGTTCAGATCTCCCGGGTGATCATAAAGACTGAACAGCGTCTCGTTTCCCTCTGAGTTTCCATCTTCTACCAAGGATAGCGACATGGACCACCCAACAGGCCAGAACGCCCCAAAGACCCAAAGCAACAACAGGCGAGCAGTAGAGGGGACGGTGTGTCCCTGGCCCCAGCCCAGCGCTGACACACACATAAACACACACACACACTCCACAAAGACGCTTGGAGGGCTCTGTCCCAACTAAGCTGTAAATGAAACTAACCTAACTTTGACACCGAGCCTCAAATAAGACTCCATTATTTCAAAACCTGTGGTCATCTGGACAGTGCCTCTGCAGAATTCATGGGGGGGGGGGCCCATTTTTAAAATTATAGAAAAATACATTTAAAAAGTACCACTTCAGCCACTTTAAAGTGTTTAGATCTGTGGCATTAGGTACAAGCACACTTTTCTGCAACCATAACCACCACCCCTTTTCACCTTCCCAAACTGACCACAGAGAATAATTTTTAAGGTTCTATGAGTTAAACAATGGAGTCAATGTTTCATTTCCTCTTCCATTAAAGTCAGTGCCTCGAAGACTATTAAAATGACACAATGGTTTACTACTAAAACGCCAGTGTTTCTCTTTTTTTTTTTTTTTTTTTTTTTGAGACAGAGTCTCACTCTCTTACCCAGGCTGGAGTGCAGTGGTGTGATCTTGGCTCGCTGCAACCTCCACCTCTCAGGTTCAAGCGATTCTCCTGCCTCAGTCTTCTGAATAGCTGGGATTACAGGCACGCACCACCATGCCTGGCTCATTTTTGTACTTTTAGTAGAGGCGGGGTTTCTCCATGTTGGCCAGGCTGGTCTCGAACTCCTGACCTCAAGTGATCTGCCTGCCTTAATCTCCCAAAGTGCTGGGATTACAGGCATGAGCCACTGTGCCCGGCCCAGTGTTTCCTTACTAGCGCAAATCTCATCAGCACCACCAGCAACCAGAGTAACTGGGTATGTCTTAGTAAGACAGACAAGAAGAGCTGCCCTCTACAGAACACACCAAGGGCCAGAGTCGGGGTTCATGCTCCGCTGTCTTCTCACTCATCCTTACAGCCATCCTGTGAGGCAGGTTCATTACCCCCATTTTGCAGGTAAGGAAACTAAAGTTTTAAAAGGTTAAGTACTTGCCCTAGGTCACCTAGCAAACCAGTGGAGGAACCAAGGCTTTATGCCAGGTGTTTCTGGCTCTCAAAGCCACTGCCCCACACACTCAGGCTTCGCTTGCACGATGCCATCATTCTAGCAAACACTAGAATGATGTCAGCTCCTAGCTAGGCACTAGGAGTTGACAAGACTAAGAATAAATCATGGTATTAACCTGAAAGAGCTCACATACTATACAAAATAGTGTAAATCGGTGAGGCCTTCTCACCCTACTGCAGCCACCATGGTCTCTAACAAATACTTCGTTGATGGGAGACCATCCTAGGCTGCTTGTACCACCTCTCTGCTCCACCAGGGGGCACCCTCAACTTGGACTTCCAGAAGGGAGGGATTTGGGGGGATCCCCCTCGTGCAGCCCTCAGGCCCCAGCGCTACGCACAGATACCAAAGCACAGACAGCGAACTTCTCACACAGATTCACAGTGAAACTGATTTTAGGTTCGGAACTGACAGAAACCCCCAAGTACAAAAAATATTCACCTGTTTCCAATAACCTTTCCAGAATGCTTAGATGTCCATCAGAATGTTTTAAAGCCACCCCCTAAACAAGGCAAAAGCCCCATCACACCCTGGAAAGTCTAAGTAACTATGAACTTGCACTATCACGTGCACCGGAACGGTGAGCGTGTGCTATTTTCAAACGCAGGAACTGGCTCATTGTTTGCCGGGGCTGAGGCTTCCTGCGAGCGGGGCTGAGTGCGGGCGGCCCCGCCCACGCTTCCCATGACCGACACCTCCTCTCGGGGAGCACAGGGCAGTGGGCAGCAGAGCAAGTCCAGGAGGGAAGAGGGAAAGGGAGAGGCCCGGCAGAGGCGCGGAGAAACTGGGTCTCGGGGGCAACAGCCACTCAGCAACCCCCACACCCAGGAGAGAGAAAACAGGCTGCCTCCATCTTGCCCAATTATGCAAATGAAAGGAGGAAATAACGCCCAGGGTACATTTATAGCAGGGATTCGTGCCCACTGGTGATGACTCCCGCCATCCAGGGCTTTCAGCCATCCACAGATGGCCTAAGAGAGCCTCTGGGTGTCAGTGCACTATAATCTGAAAGCTCCTGGGAATGTCCATATGGGAATTGGGAAACCTAGCAACACTTCATTTGTGTTTTGCGTCCTGACATCAAGGCTGCCAGACCCCTCGTGTCTTCCCCGGGGAGAACTGTAATGAAACAGTTCCAAGTGGCGCTTGAAGGAAATCGTGTTTGCCTGGGATTAATGGATGGGCTAACATGGCAGCTCCACAGCCCAGGGCTCAGCTCCCTGGAGGCAGCGGCGGCCACGGCCAGGCTGGCTCCTTGGCACCAGGCAGTACCTACCGTCTGACAAGTCTGCGCTCTTGGACAGCTGCTCCAGCTCCCAGCCAAGGTGGGCAGATTCGTTCATGCTCTGCTTCTGGGCAATCTCGAGGACCATGTTTTCTTCCAGCAGCTCCTCAATTCGTTTCTTATCTGTGTCCCGGTCCTGGGGTAAGAAGAGGCAAGAAGTGAGGCTGCACAGCTGGGGGGCCCTCTGGACAAGCCTCAGCCCCTGTACAGCTACCATCATGTGCTGTGGATGAAGATGTACTGGCTCACTTCCAAATAAACAGAGCTGCACAGAAACGTCCCAACACAGGGCCCTGCTATGAGAGATAAAGCCACTCAAAGGTACGCTGACCTGGCTACCTAGGTTATGAAGAGAGACCCGAGGTCCCTAACTGAATGCTGTCTGAACAAAGTGACGTATTGCACAGGGCTTTAAAGCAAGTGTGCAGCGATGGGCAGCTTCGTGGCTCTAGCGAAGCCCTAAAGCTGTTAAGGCCTCTAAAGTTGTTAAGAGGCTAACAGATCACAGCTCACCCCACACCATCAACAACAGCAAAGACCCTTCTTGCAAAAGACACACACGCACACTCATTCCTACAGAAAAGCAATACAGAAGTCAAGTGCTCTCTGTTTGTGGGTGTTAAGTGGCACCCACTCAAGCCTGCTGATTTTAGCAAGCGACTCCCCGCAGTCAACAAGTCATTGGTGGTAGCGGTGGGAGCAGCAGCGGCGGGAGCAGCAACAAACCCAGTAGCTGAACTATCAGAGAAGGGCACGGCATAAACCTGAACCTGCCCCAATCTGTTTTCTTTCCTTTTTTTTTTTTTTTTTTTCCTGAGACAGGGTCTTGCTCTGTCACCCAGGCTGGAATGCAGTGGTGTGATCATGGCTCACTGCAACCGCAACCTCCCAGCATCAAGCAACCCTCCCGCCTCAGTCTCCCCAAGTAGATGCGACTACAGGCTCACACCACCATGCCCAATTTTTTAATTTTTGTAGAGATGGGGTCTCACTAGGTTGCCAGGGCTAGAACTCCTGGGCTCAAGGGATCCTCCCACCTTAGCCTCCCAAAGTCCTGGGATTACAGGCATGAGCCACTGTGCCCGACCCCAATCTGTTTTCAGTGCAGTAACAACACAGCCTGCAGTACCAATTCCAGGTCGTGAAGCTTTGATTTCAGCTGCAGGTTCTCCTTTTCCAGTTCATGGACTTTATCGCCCCGGGCCCGAGCAGCAGTCAGCTGTTCCTCCAGCATGGCCTTGGTTTCAATTAAAATGATATTATCTTCTCTCAGCTCCTGGTTAGCAAAAACATACATGAGAGCCATCAGATAAAGGCAGCTGGGTCATTAGGACAGAATTCTAAAACCAAAGCTCTTTCAGGCATCTGGACCCAAGCAAACAATCCAGAGGGGAGTCCGAGGCAGGAAGTTTTTCCTCCACTTTTTGTTTTTATCATCTTCACTTTTTTTTTTCGAGACAGAATCTCACTCTGTTGCCCAGGCTGGGGTGCAGTGGCGCGATCTCAGCTCACTGCAACCTCCACCTCCTGGGTTCGGCAATTCTCCTGCCTCAGCCTCCCAAGTAGCTGAGATTACAGGTGCCTGCTACCACGCCCGGCTAATTTTTGTATCTTTAGTAGAGATGAGGTTTCACCATGTTGTCCAGGCTGGTCTAGAATTCCTGACCTCAGGTGATCCACCTGCCTCAGCCTCCCAAAGTGCTGGGATTACAGGCGTGAGCCACTGCGCCCAGCCCATCTTCACCCTTTTTAATTGGGCAAGGACAATGGACTTTCTCTGCTATAAGAAAAAAAATCTATGTATCAAGATAGGCTGGGAATAGTGCCAAGGCTTTGACATTCTTCATCTCATTTGGACGGACAAGGAATCTCTGAGCCCATTTCCTTAACAAGGAAGGAGTGGGGTCGAGAGTCAATCCTGGGTTCCAGGTCTGAGTCTAGTAGACCTCTTGATTCAACATTCATTCTACAGATGTGGGGCCTGGAAAAAAAGCAGCTATTCAGATAAGCTTTCTCATTCAATACACTGCTCCAAATCTGAGTATCTTACAAACACTCTTAGAAAAGAGAAGTTATTGGCAGTTTCCTGGAAATGGGAGTCTTTAAGACAGTTAAAGTCTCAGCACAGCAAGCCACAGAGATGTGAACTCCACAAATATACACAGTTGAGGGGTCCACCCGGATCTACTTTTGTCACAGGCAGTGATGTGCACAAGGGAAGAAGTCGGTCCGGGGCCCGCATCTCCACTGTTCCTAGGCTAAGGGCTTTCTTGGTTTCTCTTCTCCTGGGCCCTTCCAAGCACTGCTCAGTATCTGGCGGGGAACTGAGCTTCCCCCAAATGCCTTCGCAGGTTACAAACGGCACACGCCAGGAACCTGTATGCTTCTTTCGGTGGGCAGAGCTGTCTAAGGTTTGTCCCACTCACGAATCACACTGGGAACCAGGCGGGGAGTTCCTGCTTATCCACCATGTGCTCATCTTCCTATGTGGGCCAGAATCCAAGATTCCTGGTGCAGGGGAAGCCACACACTTTCCAGCCAGCGGACACAGCTTTGATCAAAGCCTGGCAGGGGTGAGGGGCTTGGCCATTAAGTCTCTGGATTCACCTGCATGCCCTTCTCTGCCTGTCCCCAGCAGAGACCACATCTACTATGTGGCTGGCCCTGCCCCAGGCAATCCATGAACCGCCTTACTCACAGTGGCCCTCAGAGAGAGGCAGGGACAGTCCCTTCCCGCAGATGAAAGACCAACTCAGAAAAAATAATGAGCTCAAAGCCAGGAACCTAGTGAGGTACAAAGCTGGAGCCTGACAAGCTGCAGACCCTGTGCTCTCCTCACTGCCCTCGGCTCCCTGAAGCCCACCCTCGGGGGCTTGTGTGGGTGAAAGGCCCCTATTGTACTAATGACACGAGCCAGAGCACAATGACAGACTTCAAAGCAGAAAGAAGGCCCGGTCTTTTCTCTCTGGCTTTTGCCCCCACTCTTCCGACCAGTGTTCCAGCAGGGTCCACCACCAGCACTCCCCAGCATCACTACCCTCAGGCCCTAAGCAACCACCACACAGGCTGCCGCCGCTTCACCCTCACAACCAACTCCTATTTAGCCCTCAAGACCCAGCCTGAGTTATCCGCTTGGAGAAGGGCTTGAGAATTCACTGTGTTGCACCCAAGTCAGGCTTCTGGGCTCCTAGTGTTCCCCTGGTCTGCTCTGAGGCCACAGCAGGCCGGCCTGTTCCTCCCCTAGATCAGGAACCCCGGGCAGGACTGTTGTGCTTTTGCTCTTGTGAGCCTCGCATAAGTGTTCAATAACAGTAGTTGGCCAAATCATGCCACAAGGAGGAATCAAAGGCAGCATGTGAGGTGGACCTTAAAGAACTCAAGAGACTTCCCGGAATGAATGGGGATGGCCAGGAGTGGGAGATGGCATGGAACAGAAGACTTCTAACTGCTACTCAAATATGCTGTGGTTTTCTGGCCATTTCAACCTCCACTATATAAGGTAACAAAAACATCTCGAGTGCCCTGCACACCCCACCACCACCTCTGAAATGAGAAGCCGGATCCAGAAGAAGCTGTGGCCAAGCTCCCGAAGCAAGCCCAGAGCTCCCCCGGGGACCTGGTGAGGAGGAGTGGGAAGCCCAATTCCACACCTCTGGGTAGCTGTCCAAGGCCAGAACGCCCCACCACGGCCCCAACCACCGGTGACCTGGGGGGCTAAAGGCCCGGCCCAGCCCAGCAAACAGCTGAGGGGACCACACTCATGAAGTCACAGGCCAGGCCTGAGGGCTGGTCCAGGAGGCTCGAGAGCTCACTTCCAATCCGCCACTGCGACTTGGGGCAGTGATTAGGCATGGGAGCTAACGGGCCCCAATTCCCAGGGCTGCTACATACACTCTCAACCCGGATTCCTCCTTTACAGGATGGGCCTGAAGCCAGGGTGATGCGGAGCTCGGATGATACGTGTAAAATACTCCATGCGCAGTGCCTGAGACCTACAAACTCACCAGCTGCCATCACCACCAACTCACACCAACAGACCACCCCCGGCACTCACCGTGGAGCACTTAGCATGTTAACAGCAAAAACTGGCTTCTAGGGTGCCTCCTGACCCCTGAGGAGCACACAGCACCAGAGGGGGTACAGAATCAAAGAAACGAGCTGTCCCCCACCAGGGAGCTCGGTAGCGATCACGATGCCGTACAGTTCCCTAAAGGAGGCCATAGCAGCAGAAGGCCAGCCCAGGGCATCCTCAGTGGGGAGGGTCTGGGTCAGCTGACTCAGGGTGGGCAGACCTCCTACCCACCCAGGAAACATCACCCCCGCTCTGAACTCTACCTGCTCATCCAGCTTTGTGGACATCCCTTCAACTTCACCTGCCTGTTTTCAAACTTCGCCCGCTTTGAGGAGCATGGGGGACTTAAACCTTAAACCAAATGTCAGGTCTGTCCTGTTCAACGTCTTAGTGTGCTGAACCTCATCACAACTCCTCAGCAGTTATTAAGGAATGAGGGAGACACAAAAGATACAAAGTCCCAGGTGGGAACAGAAGCCCTCCCTGCGTTCAAGGTGTCCTTAGTAAGTACCCTGAATCTTGACATTCCCTGATTATGACGTGATGTGTCAGCTCTAATGTGAGCTGCTGGAGACTGGGGCCCTTCCTCAGGCCTCCACGGCCTCAGAGACAGTGGCAGCCCCTCAGCCCTCCTGAGAGTACCCCTCTTTCAGCACTCCCCACACCCCCTTTATTTCCTCCTTCCTGTGAAGGCTGAAGCTCATGTTCATTCACAGGCAAGCATCAAGGTCGTGGAGGTAGACAGTCATTCCCATCCCAGGTCCCCCTGCTTAGCAACTGCCATGTCATTAATTAATCAATCGTCAGTTTCCTCATCTGAAAAGAGGGAAGGAACTGATGTGGCTGCTAAACCTGCAGAGCCACCATAAGGCTTCAGTGCACGGACGCAGTTAGGGCCTGACACCATTCCTAGCAGGCGGGGAAAGCTCCACAGACACACAGTCTAGTTACCACTCACTGAAAGACCCGATTGTGCACCTCACTTGGGCCAGCCCCTGAGACCGTGCAGGCCCAGTCAGGCGATGTTTTCAGCTTTGCAGGTTTTAAGTCTCTGTCACAATTACTCAGCTCCACAGAGGGAGCACAAAAAGAGACAACAAATGGGCATTAGCTGTGTTCCAACACAACTGTGTTCATAAAAACTCACGGGGGCCGGGTTTGCCCAGCGACTGCCATCTGCTGACCCCTGAGCCAGAAGGCACATGGGACACAGAGGACCAGGGGTCAATAAGGCACAGACCCTGTCTTCAAAGGGCTCCCACTCTGGCTGGGAAGCAGACAGGACAGTGCCACGTGACGAGCACTGCCTGCAGTCAGGAGGGGTTTGAAGGTGCCTGGAGCAGGAGGCTGGGAGACGCAGCCTGCATAGATCAGCGCCCCATCCCTGACCTGGCCCCGGAGTCTGAGGAGCGAGCTGGGAGGAGAGAGCGGGGCTGAGCCGAGGAAGCACTTGTGCAAAAGCACCAGGAGTCCTGGGGGAGCTGAAGGGGGCGAGTGGCAGACGAGGGTACACTGTGGATTTTACCCAGGAGCCATGGAGAGCGGCTGCAAAGGCCTCTGCAGCAGGACAGACGGAGGCAGACTGGCCAGTCCAGACTGTTAGGGAGGGCACTCCACAGGCAGACTCTGGAATAACATGAGCGAGGATGCCAGTGAGGCTGAGGCGCCCTCTTCAACACCCGCCTCCGGACAGCGAGATGCTGGGAGGTGAGAAACGGGCTTATAAACAGGAGGGGCACCTGGGCCTGGGACGCGGGGGGTGGGGAGAGGTAAGACAAAGAACCAAGGTGGCCCTATGCTCTGGCTTGAGCACCCGAGTGGATGTGACTCCAGACCAGAGACAGGACAGGCAGGTGTGGAGGGAAAGACAATGACTCTGAACACACTGACCTTGAGACGTCTCTGGACGACCCGGGTACACTGAGGCCTGGAGCACAAGACAGAGCCTCAGCCAAGGATTAAGATCTGGGACTCAAAGGTCTATGTGTATGGGCTAAGAGAAGTGGGCGGGGCAGGTGAGCCATCCCTGGAGAAAGCCCAGAGGAGCAGAGGGCGAGGGGTGGATGAGGGCCCTGATATTGAGGGGTGGACCTGCGAGGGGAGGGTGAGCCCAGGAGTGGGGCGAGTGGAAGCTCAGGCAGGAAGTGGTAGGAGGGGCCGGGGAAAGCTCCACAGACACACAGTCTAGTTACCACTCACTGAAA